CCAATTGTCATGGGAAAGCTAAATGGGTGGCCTGCCACTTTAAGAACTTTAAGATCCCATTCTATAATCCCATATGTCATCTTCCTATTTCCCACGCTCTATGCAATGTTCCCATGTGCGTTTCAACCACAGGGAACCACATTATTAGCAGTCTCGCCAATTTAAACAATGCTAACAATTAAAAAGTCATCTCTTCTTTCTTCCTGTTTGTCATTATCTCTTTCTTCCTTTGTTGTGTTTTTCCAGTTTTCAATTTTTTCCCCAAGCAAATATTATGCTCAGAAACTTCCCTTCAAACATGTGTCCATATTTCCGCCCCATCTGAAACAAAGATTTGCAGAACAGAACTGTTCAATTCCAGTACTTTTTATTTATTTATGTTTCTGCCCCCATTGTGAAGTGATTTCCCTTGTTCTTTAAATTTCCTTGCACCAACAAACATGGTGAAAAGGCCCCTCTTAAGTATTGTCTCTATGTGACGATTTCAAATAAATCCTCATGTAAAGACTGTTATTCTTTTCACTTGGCTCCTATAAACCCTGCAAGCCAAAACCCTAGAGGCCAGTGGTGGCTAATCATTTTGGTCAGCCGACAAAGTACATTTTCTTGATTGAATATCTCTTGAATTTTTCCATAAATCAAGAAATGTTCAATCAAGAAAAACCTGGAAACACACTTTCAATCTAGCATGGATTTATAGACTACTGAAATGTGTGTGTGTGTGCGTAGGGGTAGGGGTTGCTTCTTGACGGCCCTGTAGGTCGTAGTTTTGTCAACACTGCAAGCTGCTTGGATGGTCCTAGCTGAACAAACGGAGGGAATCTTGTCAGTGCTCTGCAATAGTAGGCTGCATGGATTTAGCTGGTTAAACTCCAGCACCACCCACATGCAAATTCTGGGATTCGCAGAGTTGATCTTATCAACCTGCACTTCAATTCTCAGGGAATAGGTAATCAGGTTCCATCCCTCCAGGGAGAGAGTGCACACTCCATACCAGATGAATAGAAGCCATATATATGTACCGAGTGGATTAGTTTGGAGATACTTAAACATGTTTTCAGTGTTATTTCTTTTTATAATGTGTGGTTGAAGTTGGATGGAGCCTTACAGATAGACACTTTCTTTTCACATTTATTTGTTATTTCCCCTTGTTAATTCCACTCCCAAGACAGTTTACCTCAGTTATAAAGATACAGTAGTCCTTGCATTGGATATAACACCTTATCACATTGCTGAGACATCTCAATTGCTTCATAGAATTTTACTGTATTCTTGTAGCCAAACCCAGCAGCCAATTTGTACACAATAAATTGTAGAACTGTTAAAAAAAACAATTAGAGAGTCAGTGGAAAGAATACTGGGGTTCAATTTGCATTATGTAAATAAGTAAATTGTCAATTTTATCTTGGGGATTGTTGGCCAGGACACCTTCCTCATCACAGATCTTTAGTGCCCACCTAAACAGGCAGATAGGACCTCAGCTTAACATCCAGAAGGATGCAACATCAAGTCTGATAGGAAAATTCGACATAGGGAAACAAATCACTCGCTTTCTAACCTGAAAAAGCCCACAACTGCTGATGTGCAAAGCCTCATGTTGCTGTATTACTTTTTCAGTGTTATTTCTTTCTATAACATGTGGTTGAAATTGGATGGAGCCTTACAGATAGAAACTTTCTTTTCACATTTATTTGTTATTTCCACTTGTTAATTTCTTTTGTTAACTACAATTTCTTTTGTTAACTACTGGATTTGCAGACCGGTGGCATAATGCTAAGGCTTTCACCTCCCTCCTACTCCGGCCGCTATTTTGAAGAAAAGTGGCAAGTTTCTCCCATTGTCCTGTGCTACATTCCCTCCTTATCTGAATTCATTCCAAAAACTCAACTTAGTTGTCAACAGATAAAATTAATCATTAATTTCATGGCTGTTTGTGGGATATTGCTGTGCACAAATTGGCTATTATGTTTGCCTTTAAGAAACAGTCAGTACATTTTATGGTAAATCCTTTGAAGTGACATCCTCCTAACATGAAAGGTGCTAGATCAAATGCAAAGATTATTATTTACTCTTATTATTATTGGTAAGACTTTGGAAGCATGGATTAGCTGCCGCGTTTTCTTTCCCAATATTCACTTCATTTCTAATTAATCTTGTGGTGTAAATGCACTCTGTTTTATTTTACATGACAGGCGCTATTTAAGTTTAAGATGTTGTTATTGACCTGGTTCCAAATCCATGTCATAGTGCTCTTTTAACTCACTGTAAAGATGTGGGAGAGCAGCCTGGGAGATGCAGACTTTGATCTTTCTCACTGTGTGGGGAATTCCAGGCACAGAGTGTGTCCCATCATTCAGTGGTGGGTGCACATTGTTCAAGCTCTGATGTCCTGTGTGACCAGACTATGCGCAAACCAGAACTGAGCCAAACAGTCAGTGGTGTGAAAGGAGCACCCCAAAGGCATCAAATGCAGATGGTGAGTTATTCTGAGCATTGCTTACTAGCTGCCGGTCAAAGTTTTTAAGTAAGTTTGCTGTTTGAGCATTACGCAGTGGACAGAGAAACCTAATCCTTGGAATAATGGCTCAAACTAAGCACTTCTAAAGCCACCAAATGCAGATGTTGTGGTATTCTCATTCCTTAGCCAAGGGTCAATGTTTTAAATTAACTTTGTTGTATGCCCAGGACACAGTACACAAAGAAACAGAATCACTGGAATAAATCACTGTGGCACTTCAACAAAGAGAAGAAGCTACTGACTGCTGCCATGGGGTCAGAGAAACTGAATATTTTTGTCAGCATGATGTTTTGGTAAACTGGTTAATGATTTGTATTTCTGAGTTCTGCGAATAAATTTCAGTTGTTAGCGTAGATGTTAGCCAATGTCTATTAATCACAATAATAAAAGAGCTTCAAAACATTAGCATCCTACAATCATACCGAGAAGCTTGGTGGTTAATGGCCAATCTTTATCCATACTTTTTCCATGACTGTTTATTTATAAAGAAAATATCACCAATAATGAAAAGCCAAAGAAATATCCAGATGAAATACAACTGTGCAGAAGGAAATAAACAAAGGATTAGCTTCCATGTTTACTCTCACCCTGTACAAAGCCGTGCTCTTTTACTAAAGAAGGCTTGTCTTACATTCCTATCATTTTACAGGAATTTTCTATAAACAGTGAGGTCGAACCATCAAGTGACTTATGAAGAAAAGTATGCATCAAAATAGATCACCCAGTTCTGTGCCAGGAACATATCAACCCGGATCTCAAAAGAGCAAAGTACAAAGAAAAGGATTGATCACATCTGCTATGCCATTTGCTGTGCAAGTATCCTTCCAGCACATTCAGAATTACTCTGCAAGTCTGTATACTTCACAATGCTTTCACTATTGAAGTAATATTAATGTCCTGAATGATGTTAGCCTTTAAATTGCCCAGCTAATGGATTAATGCTTCCCAAAAGAAAAAGATGGGGACAGCAAAGTTGAATTGATCCACACCTACTTGTGCATCCTCCTGGATAAGCAACCACACACAGTAAAAAGCATAGGAGCAAGTCACCCTCCTGCCCTTTCAGACATGAAATGGTAAGTGGCACGAGAGGACTAAAGTCAATAAAAAAAGTAATTGAAAAATAGGAAAGAGAACAAGAATGACTTGAGATCACAAGAGAGGTTCGGGTAAAGAAATTATCTTGGGCTTTTTGATACCATGTTTTCCAGAACATCACTGATCACATTTCAATTTTTTCCATGTCTCCAACAAGAACTTTAAAGCACTGGAGATTTTGAGAGGCACCAGAAATGGGATGGTGAGCTAACTTTGTCAATTTCAATTGTTTTCCCCTTCCCATCCATCTCTCTGAACCTTTTCCCTTTTAATATTCTGGGTGCCATATATGATATATAAGTACTGGATTGTTATGTGCAACCTCACTCATGATGTGAATTCTCTCATCATAAGATCACAAGATTGGTCTGAATGAAGAAAGCACTTCAGCCCATCCAATCTCATCCCTCCAGACACCCACCCTATGGTTCCCCCATCACTGCATCAAGCTGCTTTCTAAATGAATGATCACGTGCTTGCACCGTGGACCCCATTCATTAGCATGCTTGCGGCAAAGCAGGAAGTGACATAAGAAGGGACCTAATGACCAGGAAGTTGGCGATTTTAGCATCCTATGCTTAGAAAATGACTTAATTCTGATTTACCGGGTCACCGATACCATCACTTGCTCAGAGCAATTAGGTATGTGATGTTATAACACGTATGGAAGTAACTCTAGTGGTGATTTGATGAACAGGAATTTGGACATTTGTTCATTTAGTGCGGGAAGCTTCTGACACACAGGAAGCAAGCTGGCCAGCTGCCTTGCAATAACTCAGGTTGAGATTTTATGAATCCCAAAACTCTGTGTTATAAAGATGCTGCACTATATATATATATATATATATATAAGGTTAAATGTTTATCCTTTCTGTCCCAAATGCTACTCCATTTTCTCTTGCTTATTCATTTTTATTTTCTTAGGGGTATTTCCTGCAGTTATCTCATATTTATTGGGTGATTCTATCCTCCTCCATCATCATCAGCTCTCATGGATTCACTTTGGTGATTCTGCACTGCTCTGTTTTCAATCCTATCTATCCCAGTGTCTTCACTATGTCTCCTCTAATGGCTTCCACTCCTGTCTCCAGTAGATCAACTTTAAGATCTCAAATGCCCTCCTGTCCCTTTCACTCTGCCAACCTATGTCTGCTATCAGTTGAGTGAGCTTTCCTGTCTTCTGGAATGCTGCCTAAATCCCTCTGCCTTGCCTTCTCCCACTCTGCTTTCTAATTCTGTCTAAAAGAAAAACTTTCTCTTTGAGTACGTCTTTGGCTATCTTCTCCCAATCCCTCCTGTCTCCATTCCAGGTTGGGTGCTTTACTTGGGGCATCCTCCCTATGTGAAAGGTGCAATATAATGTAATTTTTTGTTGTGATACATCCAGTGTTAACTGTTCATGTTTATTATTTTGATTAAGAAAAAGTACATGGCCACCGGTTTGTCAGATATACATATATGTAAAATTAAAAATGTAACATCAGAAGAATTGGATACCTCGCTCCTGTTAAAAAATATACAACCTTATCAGTCACAAGTGATCCTGCATCATTGATTAATAAACCCGCTGGCTGCCAGCCACAATCACACAAACCTAACCAACCATACCTGTAGTGTATGTTTATAATACAATAGTTTCTGATAAAAAAGTGGATATCTTTCAATTGAATGAGAAATATTCCAAAATGATGTATAAGTTAACATAACAACTTAGCTTTCACAAAGAAACTGAATGATTTGTAAATACCAGCACGTTAACACTTATATAAAAGTAAAATCTATCCGAACATCGACATTATATGTGACTGGAAATTGACCGCCAACATTGTGAAGAGATTCTGCAATTCTTCATCAGTGATCGTTCCGCACAGTTAAAAGATGATTGCCTTAATACAGCTCATTAAACATATACAAAACTGGTAAAAAATAAATCTTAAATGTAAGATCCACAGATGGCTAAATCCCAGTGTAAACATGCTGCAGGAACTTATAAATACATATAGAAAATATTGCACGTTTTAAATCGGTTACTCCCACCGCCAGTGTAGGGATGATGTCATGGTTTAAATTGTTTCACATGAAAATTGATGTCACAAGTGCATGATTTCTTGTATAAGCCACATAAGAAGTACCACAATGGTAATTAATGTGGCAGGCATTCATTCCCTTATCTTTCGACGACCTTATTTGTCTGGATTTACTTGTTCATTTCAGACAAAATAATTCATCTACAAACTTGTTCATTTCCTCACTGCCAAACAATTTCATTCTATTGTGAAGAGTCTCTTTCTTTGTCCTTAAGTGGTCATTCAATTCATTCCCATTTGTGGAACACTTGTGTGTATAAATTGGCTTCCGGGTTCACCTACAAATACGTAGTCACTAGATTTTACTACAAAGGCTGTGCTTTGTGATGTTTTGACGACATGATAAAATGCAAGGATAATTATTAGTGCTGATTCAGGGTTTGTCAGGGTGTAAATTGCCATGAGTGATATGTCAGCTATTATTGGTGAGAATTAGCACATCATTGATAAATGTGGTGTGGACGGTTGATAACTGAAGAGCGTAAACTATGCTGGTGGGTGTACCTTCACTCTATCATGGTTTGGACTGAAACCACATGTAGTAGGTGTTGGACTTGCTGTCCATGGGACACCAGCTTAACTTGTGTCCAGCCTGGCTCAATTGGTATCACTCTTGACTCTGAGTCAGAATTTGTAGATTCAAGCCCTGCATCATAGTCTAGATTGACATTCCAATACTGTGCTGGGAGAATGCTGGAATGTTGGGGGAACCATCCTTTGGACAAGATATTAAACTGATATCCCGTCTGTCTGTTCAGGAGGGCATGAAAGATCCAATGATAGTATTTGAAAAGAGAAGAACGTTTCTCCTGATGCCCCAGCCAACAATCCCCCAAATAAAATTGATCACAGCTGTTTGTGGGAAATTACTGTGCCCAATTGGTTGCCACATTCCCCTACCAGTCACTACCTTTGACATTAAATCGTGTGAAACGCTTTGAGTCATGAAAGAAAATATATGAAGTATGAGGATGATGATTTAGTTGAGTTAAGTTGGTATTCCCTGAATTAGCAGTTCACTGGTGGCTGTAGGCAACTTTGGGCAAAACTACTATGATGGAGCAAGAGGGATTGCATATCCATAGAGTAGCCAATACCTGTCAAGTGTCTCAATGGCACTCATTATTTGTGATAATTAAGAAAACATCATGGGTCGTAATTTTTATCCCATTAATTCTGCAACTGTCTGACAATGCTCTATGATTGTCTATTAGTCACCTACTGTATTTCCAATCAGTTGTTCAACAGTGAAGGCATACAATCTAAAGGTAAGGAAGTACATTTAAAACCCTACACCCATGACATCAACATCATTCCGCAGGTTCTGACTCTATAAGTCAAAAGTGTCTGCTGACAGATGCAAAGAAGTTACCATTTTATCTGGTTTACAAAGTGCACAGCACTTGCACTTAAAAAATATACTTCAAGACAAATGTAACTTTAAAAACAAATCCCTGTATGGTAATAGAGGGGCATTGTGTGGTGTTATTAGCACTGTCTGTCAGAATGCTAACTGTTAACAAAGGAACACAACGGCACTTTTAACTGCTAAGTTGTCCTGCTTGAAGTCCATTTGATGTTAGTACTTTTTTCTTCACAGTGATCAAACGCATATGCAAGGAAGAATTTTTCAGTCTTTATGGAGACGTCTGTCAAGTCCCTGTTCAGTGGTGTAAGGCAGCTGCAGTTCTTATGCCTCTGTAGCCTTTTCTGGGTTTAGTTGCTCTCGGTCTGTCATGTCGTCTTGAGGTGGGCGAGCTCGATCAAAGAAGCCAAACTGTGAAAAGAGGAAAAGCTTAAGCAAGTGCTCATTGCAACTATCTGGTCCGCCACCCATACCACCGCCCCCAAAAATACACACATCTAAACTGCAAGAAATAGGCAAAGCAGAGTGTGTCCTTCTGGGGAGAAAGGGCACATTCCAATCCATAGAAATGGGAAATATCTATGCTTAGGTGACATGCATGTGTGGAAATTGTCTGGTTTGGATTCTCTTCAACATGATGATGGATTTTCACATGTGCCAGCCAAAAATAAACTGCTGGTTATAACAGAATGTCCAGATACTGTGATCCATCTTGTTTTGAACATCAAACTAAATATATTTTACATATATAACAAAGACAATTTGCAGTCCAATAATGGTCAACAGCTGGGCATTAAAGCTTTCACAAGGAGTTTTTACAACAGTGCTTCTCTTCTTATGGTGTTTCATCTACAAAATACAGTCAATCCACTTTACTCTATATCCTGTGAAGCATGTCGACGACATGATAAGGGACTATGTCAAATACAAAGATTATTATTATTAGTTTAATTTAAATATTACTGTTGAATCCATTCATGTTTAGGAACATAGGAATCAGGGCAGGAGTAGGCCATTCGGCCCTTTGAACCTGCCCCGCCATTCAATAAGATGATGGCTGATCTTCTAACCTAACTCCATCTGCCCGCCTTATCCCTATATCCCTTAATCCCTCTATCCTTTAGAAACCTATCAATCTCAGTCTTGAATATGTTGAAGGACTGAGCATCTACAGCCTTCTGGGGTAGAGAATTCCATAAATTCACTACCCTTTGAGTGAAGAAGTGTTTCCTCAACTCAGTTCAAAAAGGCTGACCTTTAATCCTGAGACTATGAACCCTAGTTCTAGATTCTCCAACCAGGGGAAATAGTCTTGCACTGTCTACTTTGTCAAGCCCCATAAGAATCTTATATGTTTCTATAAGCTCACCCCTAATTCTTCTATATTCTGGAGAATATAGGCCTAGTTTACTCAACCTATCCTCATAGGTCAACCCCCTCATCCCAGGAACTAACCTAGTGAATCTATGCTGCACCCCCTCTAAGGCGAGTATTTCCTTTCTTAAATAAGGAGACCAAAACTGCACACAATATTCTAGGTGCTGTCTCACCAGGGCCCTATACAGTTGCAGCAAGACTTCCCTACTCTTGTATTCTAACCCTTTTGCAATAAACACCAACATACCATTAGCCTTCCTAGTTGCTTACTGTACCTGCAAACTAACTTTTTGTGACTAGTGTACAAGGACACCCAAATCCCTCTGAACACTAACACTATCTAGTCTCTCCCCCTCGAGAAAATAATCTGCTTTTCTGTTTTTACTACCTAGGTGAATAACTTCAGACTTCCCCACATTATATTCCATCTGCCACCTTTTTGCCCACTCATCTAACCTATCTATATCCCTTTGCAATCTTTTTGTGTCATCCTCAGAGCTTACTCTCCCACGTAGCTTAGTATGATCCGCGAATTTAGATATTTTAAGTTCTATGTCCTCGTCTAGATCATTGATATAGATTGTAAATAGTTGAGGCTCAAGCACTGATCCTTGTGGCACTCCACTAGTCATATCCCGCCAATCTGAGAAGGACCCGTTTATCCCTACTCTCTGTTTTCTTCCCGTTAGCCACTCTTCGATCCACGCTAATATATTGCCTTTAATTCCATGTGCCTTAATCTTGTGTAGCAGCCTTTTATGTGGCACCTTGTCGAATGCCTTCTGAAAATCTAAATATACTACATCTACTGGTTCCCTCCTATCTAACCTGCTAATTACATCCTCAAAAAACTCTAAAAGATTTGTTAAGCATGACTTCCCTTTTGTAAAGCCATGTTGACTCTGTCTAATCATGTTATGGTCCTCTAAGTACCCCACTACGACGTCCCTAATTAAGGATTCTAGAATTTTTCCGACCACCGATGTCAGACTGACTGGTCTATACTTCCCCATCTTCTCTCTCCCAGCCTTCTTAAATGGTGGTATTATGTTTGTGATCTTCCAATCAATGGGAACCGTTCCAGGATCCAGAGAAAACCCTAGGATGCAGGCCATCAGGTCCAGGGGATTTGTCATTTTTCAATCCCAAAGGTTTCCCTCGTACTAATTCTTTACTGATGTTAATTTCGCTAAGTTGCTCACTAGCATTAGCTTCTTGGTTCCCCTCTATTTTTGGTAAATTTTCAGTGTCTTCTAATGTGAAGATAGAAGCAAAGTATTTGTTTAATGACTCTGCCATTTCTTTATTCCCCATTATAATTCCTCCCATCTCTGCCTGTAATGGACCCACATTCACTCTTGCTATTTCTCTTTATGTATTTGTAAAAACTCTCACAATTTATCTTTATGTTCCTAGCTAGTTTGCCCTCATAATCCATTTTCTCCCTCCTAATCAGTTTCTTAGTTTTTCTTTGTTGGTCTCTGAAGCCCTCCCAATCCATGGGTTTACTACTTTTGGCAGTATTATGGGTCTCTTCTTATAACTGCTCTAGTTAGCCACGGTTGAACCACTTTTCCTGTGGTATTTTTATTCCTCGAGGGAATATGTGATCGCTGGGAATTATGTACTATATCTTAAAGGTTTGCCATTGCTGGTCATATCCTTTAATCTAATTCCCCAATCTATTTGAGCTAAATCCTCTCTCATACCTGCAAAGTTGGTTCTATTTAAATTTAAGATCCTTGCTTCGGATTTAACAACATCACTCTCTAACTTAATGCTACATTCCATCACGTTATGGTCACTCTGCCCTTGTTGTGAAATTTTCAAGAAATCATAGTAAAAGTTGACAATTGCAAATCTGTTTCATGAGAATGGAACCTTTACATCCACACCAGTCAAGGTCGATTAAATACGAAATATAACCATTTTCTCTGCACTCCTAGGATGCATTTGCAACATAAAACCACCAGGTGGCACAATAGTCATGGCTGGTTGTAACATCACAACAATGACATGGGACATACTCTGTGACATACCATAACCCCTTTCATATCTTAGCCATTGCTTGATTTTTTTATCCTTTAATGAATTCTATCTCTTTGATGATGTGTTTGGTAAAACAAAAAGTGATGTCTTTATTTGTCATCGTCAGTGCATTACTGAATGTTACAAAAGGTAATTACGCTTGTTTGCAATAATGCCGCAGTTTTATTTGTTTCAGGAATGATCAATCCTATAAAATCAAAGGAATGTCTATCCTAGATTAATTCTGTAAAGCTATAGACTTCCTCCATTTTAACAGGAAAGCAAATATTAGCTCAGTTCACAATCTCATGTCACTACTTCCTGAGCTTGGGACCTCAGCTTTAGTTCAATGTCAACAAAACTGTCATATTTCAGAGTGGATTGGATTTAGGGACGGGATACAGACAAATGTGAGGTTATATATTTTGTGAGGAAGAGTAAGGGGAACAAATATATGTTGGATGGTAAGATATTAAAAAGAATGGAAGACCAAAGGTGGGAAGGTGGGTTGACAAAACTGTTGAAAAAGCTAATGGAATCTTAGCTTTCATAAAACAGGAGTAAATAAAATGAAAGCAATGAGGTAATGCTAAACTTATATAAATTGTCAGTTAGTCTGTAGTTTGAATATTGTGTCCAATATCGGTCATCCTACTTTTGGATTTGATATTTGCAAATCAATTTTGTATCCTGAGGCAAGTACATGAATTTTGGCCCCATTGTAAAAAGAACAAAAAATGGATTAAATAAATAACTATTTCTCTTAGTAACACACTTTGTTTCTCTATGGCAAGCAGCATCTCCAATCTGATGTTTGAGTTGCTGGACTATGTCTACCAAATGACACCAGCAAGAAATGAAGGGAGATATCCGGAAGACACAGTGGGCCAAATGGCCTCCTTCTGTGTTGAAAATTTCTAACTTTCAATATCATGGTTATTATATAACTTAGGTCCATCTCAAGATGTAACTCTTTCACTGCACTTTTGATCAACTTTCCTCTCTCCATCCCCTTCAGTTCCCATCCCCAGCTCAGGTGTCCATGTCAAGCAATATGGGATGTCTCCTGATGTGAAAGGCACTATATAAGCATAGGTCGCATTATATTGTACATCTCAGGAAATACTGATTATGTTAATCTAGATGAAGATGCAAAACAATGACATTTGATCAATTTGAAATAGTCTGATTATAGTACAGAACAAATAATATCATGTTGCCCATTGATTTCACAATACAAATGTTGTGTATTTAGTTATGTGATTGAAGGGTTAATCCGTTTGGTTTTTCGATCAGTGCTTATGAGGTGTAACAGGGGAGGAACGGGAAATGCGAACACGTACCTTCCACATGACTAGGATCAAAATAGCCAGAACCAGCAAGCCAACCAGCACGGCTAAAATTATGACCCACAACGGGATGGAGAGCGAGGCATCAGGGGTGGCCCAAATCACTGCAGTCCTTATCTAGGGAAAGAAAAACAGTCCAAAGTTTTTTTGTGTACAATTTTTGGATCACATATATCGGGATCGAGATTGGTGTCCATGGATTGGGGTTTGGGCAACCAATACCATTCTCAACCATGAAACTGTATCCACCCTCTGGTTCATGGTTTGTGCATCGCAACCTTTGCTTGATGGTTCACAGGAGACCAACAGCAATGCCCCACAAATGGCTGTTAAAACGCTACCCATGAGAAGGGAGCTATATAAATGCAAGTTGTTGTTGGGACCTGGACAGTGCAACCATGTTATAAACTAATTCTCACAGCAGTAAAACACATTATTATGGGGTGTACTGTAGTCATTAAGATAAAGGTGCAATCTTTAATTATAGTCTGTAGCATCTGGCCGTACATCTCGTTGGTATTCTCTTGAATGTTTCACTTTCTGCTTCAACTATATCACCAGCAACTATGGCAAACAAACTCAATCCATGGGAAGAAGCTGTCAGCCTAAGCACTGGGAAGTTGTCTCAGTAATTTCTCTCTGGAATTAGGGACTTTATACATCCGGTTAATGTTATCTCAGCAAGTCCCATGTTTATAAATCTGTTTTTCCTCAAGGCACTTACTGCAGTATGTGCACTGGATAATTCTTCTTGCTGGATATTGTATGGCATTTCTTTCACTGCAAACGAGACCAATGAGTGCAAAGAGTAATGGTCATTCCTTCTCTGTCAAGACAAACACATAGAAAAATGAACCACGTGGTAAAGTGTAATGGAATTAAGTAAAACATTTAAGGTTTAGTCTTTTGTTTATTTTTAGCTCCAGTAAATACCAATTTCAGGAGCGCTTAACAGAGTTCTATCCCCTTTTCAAACATTTGTGTCCAATAAATTGTGAAATGGGAACAGATGGAAAAAGTTGTTCAGACAATTGAAGGTGACTTTGGAAAAGACAGAAAAGGTTAAAGTAGTGTAGAGAACGACACAAAAGAATTAAGATCCTGTAATTTAAATGATCATGCCCATCCACATAAATGTGAACCATGTCATCAAACAGAACAAAACAATCTTATTCTGTTTGGTGACAGGGTTCACATTTATATGGATGAACACAATTTTAAATTGTGATTTGACGTAGAGTAATTTTCAATTAAACAATATATCAGCGATTTGAGATCCTACCTCCCTGAAAGATACTATATAAATGCAAGTTGTTGTTGTCATACATAACACTTTATCTGTGTGAATATTTCTTTAGATTTGATACCATACCACTTAAGTTGTTTTAGGAATAGGAGTCCAATTTGTGATATTTGCAAACTTATTCACTTTGCTAATTGTGACATCCAGTTAGAGGTGATCAAGGTTTCAGATGTGCAGTGGGTGAATTGTTAACTGTGAAGGCTAGTGATGTCCTAAAATGAAAAGGCAGTGAACAAACAATGATTTGATATTTGCAAAGTAGAAACCACAACTGGCAAGTCAAATCCGGATTGCAAATATCACAAATCAATCTGGTTTCATTACTGGGATATATTGTATGAAAATACAAAGAGCTGACATCACCAAAGACAATGTGCCTGAAGCTTACTGCACTCTCTCCATAATTGTGGTATAATTGAAAATAATGCCATCCTCTTCCAATTCTCAGTCCCCCACCACACAAAAAAATGAGCAAACATTAGGATAAATTTTGCGACATCATATCTTAACTGATTTCTTAATTAAGAAATCCGATAAAGTTCCGGTAAGTACTTTACATATCTCACCCTGTGTCAAGAGCGTCCTGTTCTAAAAATGGATTGAGTTGAAGTGGTGTTCTCATGGACCTCTGCATTTCTTCATTAAGAAATACGTTTAGAAACATCGCAAAGTTAGCCCTTTTTTAATAAAGAATGCTCCATAAATAAGATTTATAATGGCTTTGCTGTCCCTATCACAGCATATTCTTGTTCATAAGTTTATTGCAATACACTGAGAAAATCTGTACATGTGGAGTGCTTTGTTGTGGATAACCTTTATGCAAGTTGGAAAATGATTGGAGCACAGACTAAAATATTAGTAATTGCTAATAGCTGCAAAAGAGGAAGGAAGCACAGTTGAAATTTGGAAGGCTTCAGCTGAACTATAAAAACATTTCAAAGAGTGCTGTTAAAATATTTAACTGTTGACGTGCCACATGCTGTGCTTGAAGTTCCTGACAAGGACAGGATTCATTAGGTTGAAGCATTTGTTGTTAAAATAGGAACAATAACCTTGATATACGATGTTTAGAGGAGGCTGCCTAGAGCATGAGAAATGTGGACTTAGACAGCTCTTAGCTTGCATTAAAAGGATCTTGCTTTTCTCCTCCCATCCCGCTTTTATGAAGCTCAGTATTCCCACAGGAAATCCAAATAAAGGCTTCAGGAGCCAATGACACGTGATAACAGGCCTCTCTCTGGAAATAATTTATGTCAGGAAATTTGGTAACACCCATTTCCGGACTCCTGAGGATGCTGTAAAAAACATTGAGATCTGTGACATTTGTCAGTGAAATAAACTAACACTTGTAATCACAGCTGCTGTTGACAGAATCTGTGAGTTGTAGGTGTGGTTATTTTCCATGGTTTCTTTAAAATCTAAGACCTATAATGTTCTGGCCAACATTCATCCAAATAAAATTGGTTATTCACTTCATGGGACATTGCTATGTGCAAATGGGTTGCTACATTTACCTTCAAATACACAGTCACTGCAGTTTACAGTATAACCTGTGAAGTGCTATGAGACTTCCCACTGATGTAAAAGGCACTGTACAAAATGCAAGGATTGTTATTACTATTATTTTATGCCAATTTCTAAAAACAGCCCTTTTTGTTATTGGCTCAGTTGATAACAATATTGAAATCTGATTCAGAAGGTTGTGGGTTCAAGCCGAATATCATGATTTGGAGCAATGGCACAAATACAATGGGCCAAATGACCTCCTTTGCAGAACATTTCTATAGTTCACGTACAATTTAAACCTCTAGGTGGCTATTGGTATTGTAGAACATTGCCAATGGCTACATGTGGGGCTGAGCTTCCTTGAGAATTTAGTCACCTTCCAACTAGCTTGTTTCTGGTTGAAGTGATTGCTTATGGGTTTGCAGATTGATAGTTTTAAGAGTCTCACTTTGATCTGATATGGATAAGATCAGTGTTTCCTATTTTTTATATTTGATATCAGTGGTTAATAGGGAAGCAAATATTGCCTCAGAGAGTTATGTGTGATTCCAGTCAGAGGCCTGAATTCGCTCATGGTTTTAGCTTTAAGAACAATGTTTTAAAATTAAAGATTGCGCAGAATTTTCAAACCTTAATTTGGAATTTTTTTATATTGTAACATATTGTGACTGACATCTGGATGGTTACATTGATCATTGTTGGCACCTTTTATGAACTTCCAAATTAATCTTCAAATTGAAGGCTGGATTTGTGAATTTTCCAAAATAGCATACATTCGTAAATTGCATGACAATGGCTTTAAGGTTAAATACCATAAAGTACGTCTGGCCTCAGGTTCAGTAACTTTAAACTAATCTAGCTTTTGAAGATGGTCTTATATTTTGTGCCAGACTGTGCTGCTATATTTCAATGGAATCAAGTTTAAATGACTTTTCAACGTCTTTGGTGCTCGGTAACTCTGCTGTGTTCACCCTTGTAAGCAGTGATCCTCTACTTCTCAGTGGTGGGATCCAATGTAGGAAGTAGACTTAACAACCTTTCACCATCAGTCCTAGCCTGTCTGAGAATGAACTAATTGTAGGTCATCTGGGACCTCATCTGTGGTGAGCTCCAGAAAGGGATTTTTGATATTGGCAGTTCTCATGGAACTGTATCGTTTTCACCATGTTTTCCTATTACATTCCTCACCTCCCAATGCAATTTCTGTGTTCTGCCAAGTGTTGCGATACACATTTTATTAAACTAAGGTTGTGAACCAATGAAAATACATAGTTGTTTGGAAGGGAGTCGACATGAGATACGATGTACTTTGTCTAAGTCCAGATGAAAGCTGACGCCAGTTTAAGTATCAACTTCCTGAGACTGTTCCAATTTGCTCTATCATAAAGCCAAACATTACAATAGGTGATCCTATCAAGATAATGTAACTTCAAGACAACAATGAAAGTCTATTTGTACAGAGACCAAGTGGTGGTCAGATGTGTGGAATGGTGTTTGTTGAATGCGTTTCGGTGATCAGTGAAATTAGGCAATGCTGGATGGGCATGACTTCTTGCCGAAGAACAGAGCAGCCACTTGTGTCTGCTACAGAGTTCATGACAAGAAGATTACCTCTTATCAAGCCAATCTTCATTGTTCCAACGGAAGTAATTTAATATTATTTATTTATGACTAAACCAAACATCAAGCATTGCATTATTATTCAACAGACAAAAGTAATGAGGCACTGCCTTTCTCAAAATGGGAGTGACAACAGTTTTGCCGGAGGCCAGAGACATTGGGTGAACGATTCCACCCGGATCTAGATTTACTTTATTTTCTTAGTGTGTCACAGCATGATGAATTTGGCACACTGTTGAATTCCAGTCTTAACTTTGAAGCTAGTGTATTTATCAATAGAACTTGCAGAAAACATGCTTCAAATTGAAAACTGCATTTAAGAATTTACCAAATTCTGGACACTCTGAAATGCTAAAAGATAGAGTAAATCTAGACGCAAATGGAATTTTTCTCCCTGTCAGATAATATTTGAATGCCCTGTAACTTCTCTTAGTTTTCTTATTTATTGCCACCTCTCCTGTAATTTGAAGCTAATGTTTTTATCAGCAGATCCAAAATGGGATGTTATCAGTAGGGCAGTAACTATCCAGAATATATTTGTTCGGCCCAAGATTACAATTTCTGCTCATTAAACAAATACTGTAAGCACTGTAACATATTGTGACTGACATCTGGATGGTTACATTGATCATTGTTGGCACCTTAAAACTCAGTGGATCCAAAATAAAATGTTAAGTATGGCAGTAACTATTACTGCTGCAAACCTATAACAAAGTACCTTTAATCCTGGTAGAAAGAAAATAGAGCTCTACAGTAAGGAAACATACAGTAGAACCTTGTTACAACATACTAGTTGGGTCAATAAAATCCCAATCAATGATACAACAGGACATTATCACCAGACAGCACTTCCATATTCACTACATATGTGTACAGAAAGCTGGCCATGTCCTCTCCCACACCAGGCTCCGTGACCCTATCAACCCCATTCTCACCCGACTCCACTGGCTTCCCATCGCACAGAGGATATAGTTCAAGGTCCTGGTCCTCACCTTCAAAGCCCTCCATGGCCTTGCTCCCTCCTACCCCCTACCATCCTGTCTGCTCTCTACGTCAGCGGGCCTGCTTCACGTCTCCAGCCTCACTCACCCCACCATTGGCAGGTGGGCCTTCTGCCACTCTGCCTCCACCTTCTGGAACTCCATCCCGCAGTCCCTCCACCTCAGCCCCTCCCTTGCTTCCTTCAAGACCCATCTCACGGCCCTCCTCTTCGACCATGCTTACAATCACCTGCTTCCGCCCCTGCCCTCCACCCGCCCCAATCCCGACCCCCAGCTCGGGTCCGAAACACTGACTGTCCAGCGCCTTGGGACATCCTCCCGACATGAAAGGCACTGTACAAATGTAATTTTGTTGTTGGGCTCTAAGTCCGCAAAAGTAAGTAGGACTAATATTCACAATATTTTGTTTAAAATGTCCTTAGTCACTCCATTATGAAATTCATGACCATTCCCTTAACATATATTGATTCAAAAGCTATTCTTCTTCAAGAAACTGTTGGTTCTGGTATTGGAAATGAGGATCATGTTTATTGATAAAAGACAGCATTATGTTAGTATCGGCTCAATTAACCTTCTGTACACTCAAGTGCTTTTGATATTAATGTAATTTGCCTGAAGACCACAAACTCACAAGAGAGGTTGCAATGAAGAAAGCTATTCAATACATTTTTTTACCCGTCCAGAATGCCAGCACTGTATAATCACATTACAGTATGAAACTGTTTAGTAAATGAGTCCAGTGTCCTACCCTCAGCCACCCTGAAACTTTAGCTTCCTGCCCTGCTATCTTGGATTTAATTTTTCTGTCCTATTAAGGGTCATGTACCTCTTGAATATTCCTTTGGAGATTTTCACACCAAGAATACTTTTACTTTAAAACAAGTTTATACAATTGCTTACTGAGTAATATAGATTATTTGTTACCTTCAGGAAGGTCTGGATCCACAATCGAGACCGTACTTTTAGAACTGCACTCTGCCTTTTTTCCAGTTGGCCAACACGGCAATAGATTTTTGTACACTCAATGTTGCTACAATTCTGAAAGAAAAGTACAATTAAAGAGTTAGTGGAAAAAAGAAGCTCCATAAATACAATTTGGGGTCCAATTTGCTATATTTCTTAATGAGATCATGGGTTTCCCAAGTAAAGAATCCTATTACAATTCCCGTTGATCTGTGGGAACTATACTCCAGAATCAGGTTGAAGTGGAGCAGAGTTATATAATAACAATATAATCCTAGATTTGATATAGTGCCTTTTCAGGTCATTGAAAAGTCTTAAAGCACTTCACAGGATTTGCTGTAGATTTGACTGTATATTTGTGGACGAAAAGCGGCAGCCAATTGCGCACAGCAGTGTCCCACAAACAGTCATGGATTGAAGTAACCAATTTATTATTTTTTTCTTCTTGAGGGATTATAATCAGGCATGTGGAGTAAGTAAACTTACCCAAGGTTTTGCCCTGCTGGGAATTGAACCCAGGTCTCTTGCTTGCGAGGTGAGTGCTCTAACCACTGAGCTACAGGACTCCACTATAACTGGCATCAGTATATCTCAAGCTAAAAGTTATGCATTCAAATGATTCACGATTCAAATATGCATGCAGTATTGTTTTTAATTTTTTTCCCCAAATGTAATCATCAATAAACAACCTAAAATAGAGAAGCAGTAACATGTGACCCTCATCAAATGTGTTTTCCATTTATATTATGAAATTAAAGAATTTTGAACATTTTTGTGGTGACCCCCTCCTGCCCCCATTTCAAGCACATATTATGCTGCTTGGCTAATGTGGTAATTCATGGCAGGAATGTATTGGCGCTTCTAAAGACAAACATTTTTGTTCAGCCACATAATTCTAAATAAATAAGATAAGCTTAGTGACACACTACATACATTTCTAATATTATACCAGTCAAGTAGTTCATAAACATTCTGGGCTGGATTTCATCTGCTTTGTGATGCAAAAACAACAGCTTTTTATCCTATTCTTACTGTGGATCAATACTCTATATTAAGGGATCACTTTTCACACTCAACCAGAATTTATTTTTTGCAATCCTCTGTAGTCTTCCAATCGGCTTATACATACTCCATAGTACTGAAGGACAATCTTTAGTGCCTGCACTATAAAAAATTAATGTTGGTTATATCAGTGTGTAAATGGCATTCATTCATTAAATATTCCAACAGCTAAGACCTGACAGCAAAGTGCTTGTGTTTATAGGAAGTTGAGAGTATGGGATAGGTGAATTATTGGTATGTGATAATGAACGTATCACATGGCATATTTCAATCTGTATTATATACCATTAAGTCATCAATAATAATGCATATTACACAATACCGATATCAAGTCTCCAACTTCAGTTCTCACTCATAACACTTTTTAAGTCTTTTGCTTTGCCTCAAAGATTTGAAGTTAATTAAAGTTATATAAAGAGCCATTGAGTATGGATTTGGTTATAACAGACAATCTGTAATATTAATATGTTACAGATCTTTAAGGATATAAGTTTCTTGGACATATTCCTTGGGATGCAAAGGAAATTAGGCACTCAAAAGACTCCCGGCTGCCAAAAAAAAATGTTGAAAACTACAATGGACTCCACCACCACCCTACACAATAGGGTGATCCACTGCCAACTACTCTGTGGGTGAAACAAACCCTACTAAATTCTCCTTTCGTTGTTCTTGTAAGTCTCTCATTACCATGTCCCCGGGTTACTGAGTCCCCTTCAATGAAAATAACTTCCCCCATTATTTACCTGTCAAAACCTTTCATACTTTTGTACACCACTATCAGGTCCCTGTCAATCGTCCCTGCTCCAATCAAAACAGACCTAGCTTCTCCAATCTCCTCATAACTGTCCCTCTACATCCCCAGATTAATCAGGTAAACGTCCTCTGTAACCCTTACCAGCTTGGGATTTGCAAGGCCCAATTTTAGCAAAATCGTAAGTGGCAATGAACGTAAATCTGGCTTGTGAAGATCTCAAATTAGACCATTCCCTCCGATAATACAAACTACTATACTCAGATGAAGGCTCACACACCAAAAATATTAGCTTTTCCTTCTCGTTCACGTGGTGATCATCTGCTACGCATTCTCACAACTTACTCTTGTCGAGATGAAAATTGTGATGTTTCGGTGAGAAAAATCCCAATTTATTTTTGGTCAGCTGGATGTTACTGGGTTGTATTATTGATTTGCACACTAAGCTAAAGGAGAACAAATTTCCACTCTACAATATGAATTATATGAAATGAGTTCACCAACATGGTTCTCTCCGTACCAGTATTTTTGTAGGATCACGCTTTAAAGGTTGCGGGAGCCTCACTTCCCTCCGTGTGATGAGATGCGATATAGTGGAAGGGTCTCGCAAGCTGATATGTTCCCCGGCAGCTGGAAGGTCAATAGTCTGAGGGCAGAAAAATGATCCACTGTAAGTATAACCTGTCTGATGATCGGATACCGTGAAATCCTGAAACATAACCTCCTTCACAGACACTGTCTTTGAATCTAACTGCATATTGTTGCTGTAAATTGAATCAGTGCATTGAAACGGTCACACAGATTAACCCCATCCAGCAGGATGACTGCACACAGCATGCCATCCATCATATTCTTTAATAAAATTAAAATGTTACATCATGGAACTCTATAAAACCCTTTGGGGGACTTTATTATTGCAAAAAGATCATAAGGTTGTGACTTAAAAAAAGAACTTTTCTCACAAGATTATGAGAATTAGATCATACGAGCGAATAGGAAACTTGCATTTTTCTTGCGGTGATTTACATTTATGCCAGGACCAATTTAATGTTCACACATTACCAGCAACTCACTCATCTGTCAAGCTATTCCCATTCACATGGAGAAAAGTAAATGTAATGAAGTCCCCAGTTTCGCCACACCATCAGTGAACGAGCGAGCATACAGGCCCACAAAATATACAGTCAATTCACTTTACAGTATATTCTGTGAAGCACTTTGAGACGTCTTGAAGACATAAGGCACTATATCAAATGCAAGGATTATTATTATTATTTTCCTCTTCCTCTGGAACTCTCTCCTGAAATTCCTCCACACGCTCCTTCCCTTTCTACCTTCAAATCTCACCTGAAGACCAACTTTTTTTGAATATTTTTTGGCCAGACAAGGTTACTATGTTCACTGATGTCCCTGCACAGTGTAGCTAAATTGGATCCCTACTAATCTTGCGAGCACACATACAACTGGATGTGTTTTTGACAATATATCACAAATTACTTCTACATCAGAGGCTGATGTGAATAAACAGCCATGTGTATAGCTGGTGTGCAGACGCATGTCATTTTACTATAGCCCTGAAATCTTTTAATTTCTAGCAACTTGTCTGATTCCTTTCTGAAAAGGTTTATAGCTATTTGATCCAACCACAACATGTGCGCTGGTGGTTTGCTCTACGTGTCTAGTCATTCCACAGGTTAGTTCAGTCATAATGTTTCTCAGATATCTTCCCCTTCCTGCTACCATTTGCTTTCAGTTCAAACTATGCGCAAACTGCCTTATACACCAATGGGTGTGAAAAACATTTTCAGAATGACTTCATTCTAGTGAATGAAAAGCAGTCCTACGTCAAAGATCTTACTCTGCAGGCTAGATTCCTAAAGACTAATTTTAGCTCTTACATATATTTAACTCTTGTTAGGCTGGCCAGCCCCCAAGACACAGTGACATTTCTCAAATTATACTTTATAAAATATCCAGCCTGGAAGATTTTGCTTAATGAAAAAAAGGCTATTTTAAAAGCAGAATTCATCTTTCACTGCTGAAAGGGTTAGACAGCCATACGTAATATGGCAGGTAGTGATCAAATGCCCCAAACAAACCCAGTATTTCCTGACCAGTGTAGCTGAAATGGTTCAAATTGACAGCAAATGTTCAGATTCCTCAGTGGTGACTGAACACTCTGAAGAGACTAGACTGTTTTATTCTTTATTTTCAGTAAGATTGTAAAACAAGCAGATACATTTGCAGTACGGCACCAAAAATGGATAAGGTAGCAAACTTGTTATATAAATAATAATCCTTGCATTGATACAGAGCCTATAATTTCAAAATGTCTGTAAAACATAGGGAATTTTTGTAAAATAGCAATTGTGCAATTGTAGGCAAGCACAGCAGCCAATTTGCACACAGGAATGTCCAACAAACAGCCATAAAATGATCAACAAATGTTTTAGCATTGTTGACCAGGACACCAGATGAAACTTCCTCCTGCCTTCAAATAATGTCATAGAATTTTGAACCTGAACAGGCAGATGGAAACTGGGTTAATGTCTCATCTGAAGGATGACACTTTCAACAATGCAGTGCTCCCCCACCACTGCAAGCCTAGATTACAGGATCAAAGTATTATTGGGGGGTGGGGGGTGGAGGGAGCGAGCAGAGACGTGAGATACGAGAAGATCAGAGATGGGGTGTGATACAACAACAACAATAAGTTGCATTTATATAATAGCAAAATTACATGTATAGAGCACCTTTCACGTCGGGAGGATGTCCCAAAGCGTTGAACAGTCAGCTGCTGGGGCCCGAGCATGGGGGAGGGGTGGGGTAGGGGTGAGGGAAGGCAGAGAGGTGGGAGGGCGACCAAAGGTACGGTCGAAGAGAAGGGGCTTGAGACCAGCCTTGAAGAAGGCAAGGGAGGAAGCAAGGTGACGGGACCGTGGGATGGAGTTCCAGAGTGTGGGGGCGGAGAGGCTGAAAGCCCGGCCACCGATGGTAGGGCAGGTCGGGTGGGAAACATGGAGCAGGCCAGAGCCTGATGAACGGAGGGAGCGGGTAGGTTGGAAGGGCGTCAGCAGGTCAGAGAGGTAGGAGGGGGTGAGGCCATGGATAGCCTTAAAGGTGAGAATGAGGATCTTGAACTCGATCCTTTGGGGGATGGAGTAGTGGGGTAACGTATCTGAGCACTTGGTGTAAAGGATAAAAATATCTGACTCAGGGTGACTACATGATAGTAACCAGATGTGCATCACACCAACATATGTGAACAAACTCTGCCCGCAAGTAGGTATAAGTCTTTCTCAGGTGTGTACAGATATAGAGTGGCACCTGTTGAATTAGTGCAGTTGTATTACGCTTTGTGTAAAGGATGGCACAAAATGACTCGAAACCTGCTTCAAGATCTCAATAACTTTCACACTCAAGTCGAGCACATTATCTGAATTTTGCAAAGAAAGTTTTCTGGCTACTGCTTGGGAAAATGCCAGTGCCTTGGGACCTCCTCCTGCTGTGAAAGGCATCTATAAATGTAATTTTTTTATTGTATTGCTGGGAGAACTCCCCCTCACCCCCTGCCTACCCTCCCTACCTCAACGTGCAAGCGTTAGCAGAGATGGAGTTAAAATAAAGCACAGAGTGAATACCGTTGATGTTCTAGGGGTCCAAGTTCAAAACTGGATACCAGGTTTGTCACCAACTACTTCATCCAGGTCCTCCTGTGAGGGTCCTTGGAAAAGAGACATTTCCACTGTAAAGCCAATTCCACGTCTAGGGTGCTGACTGACAGACTTGGAGGTTTGGAACGCAACTTCCTTGTAGCCATTTCCCCTTCTTACCACAAATCCATCTTGGAGCTTAGCCCTGAAGTTTTCAAATGGACTGAAAAAAAACTTCCATTGGGTATCCTGAAGGAAACTGTTTTGACTCAGCACCTTGGGACATCCTCCAGCGCCTTGGGACGTCCTCCTTATGTGAAAAGCGCTATACAAATGTAATTTATTTTTGTTGTTGACACACACCCTATATGATATAAGCATTTGCAGGACTTTGCTAGGTGGAAACCGGCTGCTGTCCCTCCACTTGACAGCAACTATCTTTAAGGCGCCATATTAAATGCAAGGATTATTGTAAACAGGCACTCGGCAGCATAGCAGAAACCTCGGCAGCCACGTGTCCTGTTTCCTTTGTTCAGCTGCTGCAGTCGAGTGCACAGGTCCAGTTTTAATAAGACAACATTGAGGAGAACCAGATGAGATAACCTTGAAAGCTGCATTTGTGACAAAACAGACTGGAGATACCTCTTGTTAGTGGAGGGCCCTTCAGAGTGGGAATTTCTTATAGAAAATGTGTAAATGAGGTTTCTAACAATGTGATTGATCTGAGGATTTGTGTTTTATGTCCATTGTTGTAAAAGTCATGTGTTGAGATGTAGTTCCCTGTCTGTAAGAGATCCACATGCTGAAGCTCAAGGCTCTTGAATGGATCATGTGGCTTTAATGCGCTGCAAACCCATGCTGAGCACTTAGAAGCTTAAAAGTTCAGGTGTTTGTGCAGAATTTTGATTCGTAGTGATGGCTTTGAGCAACATAATAGTTCAGAGAAATGGCAGTTCAAACCAAAAACAGGTAATTCCGAATAACACAGTGTGTGTTGTTAGACAGCTTTTACTTAATTTACCACTAAATGGGCAGGAGCAAACTTTGCAGAATATTTCTGGAGGAAATTAAGGGGTTATTAAAATCAGAACAGATTGCATGGGACCTGCAGATGTAAAGGGCTTCAGGGCCCATTCTGGTCTCTAGGGCCTCCGAGTGCCGGCTTGGAGTTGGGTTGTTGGAGGAGTGGGATCAAGTTGATTATTTTTTACACCACCTTAAGGCAAGTGCGACCAGAGAGATTCTGAGACTGTGAGGAGATATAGAACAGTGGATTCATAAGAATGCAATCTCCCCTACACTGAATTCTAATGTTAGCGCTATTTTAGCCAGTAATATTATGCAATGTGGCATAATTAGCTGCTGATAGCAGGCTGATAATGATCTCCCCATTACAGACTCAATGTATCCAGGCTGACGGATATAATACATGAGATAGAGGAAGAAATGTAGATAACGCAGCCTGTTCCTGCCTCCATCCAATGTTCCTGCACACCTCTAGGAGGTGGAACTGGATAACAATGATGAATGGGAACTCAGACAATTTTGACTACAGCAAACAACACAACAAGATTCTGTGTCACCCAACAATCGTGCACATACCAACTTTAACAGCGGTGATCTCTGTATAATAAACAGTGTGATCTCTGATCCAGCACAATCTATTTCGGCAGCAGAGTTCCTATGGGTTAGTGAGCTTTCTAATGGGATTTTGTGATGCATTTAGAAATCCGCCATAGAGACCGCATTAATTTCACATACTTGCCGTTGGTACACTATGGCTTCTTACACATTTGTTTCTCACAAAACGTGTTTCATTCATTCCAGTTCCATGGCTCTGCTCAGCCAAATATCTCAGCTTTCATGTTTTGTTTCTCAGCCACAGTTATATTTCATCCCACGAAACATTAATATTTGATAGGGATTAACCAAATACACATGCTCCTCAGTCGGTTAGTTTCTTTCTATACACAAGTGATTCAGGAAATCACCCAATATATGTTATGACTATATCAATTAAAGAAAAAAGCACAGTGCAGACAGCAATAATAACAGGATTTAAATTGGGCAAAAAGCCAACTGGATCTTTAGTCTTTTGTAATGGGCGATTGTGGAACAACCTTTCAAATCCTTTACACCACTCAATTCTCTTCCAATATTTTATTACCACCTTGTACTATGTTATATGATAAGTGTGCCAAATGTGCTACAAAGAGTGTCCAATCAATTGAAGCTGATTTATGTCCTGTTAAAGCTGTCGCAAGTATGAATCTTCTGTATTCACTGTACAAGTGACCCTGGAAGTGCAAGGTCCCACGCCAGCACAGTCGCTGCAGTGTGCTCTCCCGCTGATACAGATGGAGAATCAATTCTTCTCAACATTTCAAGGAAAATGTATACTTTAGTGTTTTAAATAGCGCATTAATCTCCTGGCTTTGTACCAGTTGTCATTTCTGATATTTATCACGGAAATAACCATTTTTCAAGATGCTGCGGATCTATTCACTTGAGGAGCTGTGTATTCTCTGCATGACTATCCCAGGTCCTACTCTAAAGGCCTGAGTGAATTACTTTAACAGCAGCTACTAATAACGCAAAGTAAAGTAGTGCCCACCTCTAGCTGCAGTGGATTGATGGTTGCGTTTATCCAGCAGTACAAAGGTCCATCTGTTTGAATTTGAAGGATGTACAGCAAATATTCCTCGCGATAGCGACTGGGCCAACCCACTTCCATCACTGCGTCACTGATCGTACTCGGTCCACTGTTGTGCAGCTAAATAAAACAGCGTTTGTTTAAAATATCATTTTACATAATATTGTAGCCCTTCCTGCAAACAGGAAGCCCTTCCTGCTCATGATGTAAAGACACGATTTTCACTAAGTACAGAGTGGATAGGCACCAAAAATACATTTCACAGTGGAATTAAAGATAAGATAGGAAGGTTTGCATATTGCTAAAGGCTACAGATGTGCTCAAAAGAATTCTTGTGAAAATTTCATAATTATGTCAAGCTGTTGAAATGCCAAATTCCAGAATAAGGGACAACAATTGGAGCCACTGGAGAAAAATCAAGATGTTGGCACTGAAAATTTTACTATCGGATTTGGGGCTGAAGTCAGGGGCGATTCACACGCATGGCCAGCAAAAAATATAGGACCACAGGAGACCAGGAGCAGGAGGAGGCCATTTCCACGATTATATTAGATCTTGGCAGATTGTTTAATCCCAATGCTGAAGCCCCCAATACCTTTACTGCTCAGTATCTGCCTATTGATTCCACTCCTACAGCTTTTTGGGGCTGAGCATTCCACATCGTCTCAACTCTCTGTGTGATGAAATGTTGTGCAGCTCTGCCTCTGATTTCAGCCTCTGCCCCTTGTAATGGATTCTTCTACCAGAGAGAAGTGTTGTCTGCTTTCTAACCTGTCAATTCATTATTTTAAATACCTCAATCAAATCACCCCTGAACCCACTCTACTATAAAGAATGTAACAACAAAAACAACTTGCATATTTACAGCTCCCTTCACATGGGATAGTGTCTTTGAGAAATGAACAATGGCACCAAGCTGAGGACAAAGGGGAGGTAACCGTACACATGGTCAAAGAGGGAAGTCTTCAGGTCAGACTTGAAGATGAGTAACGAGGGGGCGAAGTGAAGGCATTGTGGCAGGGAGTTCCAATGGTTTGTGGCATGAACCCCAATCTACTCAGCCTCTTTCTGCAAATTTCTCCTAATAGTGCACATTTTACTTTTGGTCAAAATTACTATAATGTTATTTTCTGTATATTCCCATGTCTCACCCTTCTGTTGATTCAAAACTGCAGAGCAAAGCTTTAGTCACCAGAGTTATTCTTTCAGTAGATCTTTTTGCAAAGGACTAAGAGAAAGATGTCCAAAAACTCACTTCGTAAACATGCTGAACCAAGGGTCCAACGTCTTCCTCTTTCTTAGGTTTGTCTTTACTCTCCCAGTTTGTCATCGGCAAGACGATTTGCTCCGGATGTGACACTCTACAAGAGGAACACAACAGGTTAGATGTGAGGCTCGGTCTTTGTGGTCAGGCTGGGAGATTCAACAATAATGAATAAAGGCTCAACTGTTATCCATGGAAGATACATAAATAATCATATATTTGCTATTATTATTACATAAAAAAAGCTTCATTAGCTGAAAGAGATCACTTATCTGTCCAACATTGTTCAATCTCTCAGCTGTTTAACTCCTACTCACTGTAATAGTTGTGACTATTCTCCCTTGGGGAAGTTAAGCAAGGTCTCTCTGGGGTGGTGTTGGCTCTATTTTGATATCCGGTGAATGGAGAGCAGAGCGAGGTCAGCTGGACTCGGTTATCTTATATCTCAGCCAAGCAGATCTGCAGTACTTGAAGGCAATGCTGATGAGCGGCCAACAACCCTGTCTTATCAGTGAAACTTGGTATGGAGGAGAAGAAGATCTCTGAGAACCCTTATCTAGCAGATAGGAATGTACAAGCTGGAGAAAAAGTGGGAAGTTTACCATTTCTTCGTACTGGTACACTATCCTATGTATGCTGATTAAATTCAGCAGGATCCCCAATATATACTTTGGAGTCTCCAATGCCTTAATATCTTTGGGCCAAGTGTCTTATAGTAATTTTACACATCTACACATCACTGGTGAGTGAAGCAAAAGTGCCCAGAATATGTGGAAACTGTACTTCACCTTTCGGTTTCAATCTCTGATGAAGTATTACTTGTTTTTCCATGGAAGTCTGACGCTGAACTCTGCCCGACCAGAGTTCCAGTGAATAAAAACACATCAAGGCACAAGTACATATAGGATTCTCCATTTATGAATCCCTGCAAATTAGATCCCACTGTTGGAGCATACACACATACTCACACACAATCTTAAACAAATAAGGATAATTTCCTGAAACTCTTACCATTGCTTACAATCTATTTATATTCACAGAAAGAGCAGCCATTGCTTACGAGAATATATATCCAATGCCACAGTCTACAGTGCCATTTTTGTGATCCAAATAATTCACAACAAAATAGAAATAATCGAGTCAATTTTACAGTATTTCTTAGTGGTAATTTTTGAACTGAAAAACTAACTTGTGAGAACAATCTACAGATGATAGACAAATCCTCCTGTCATGAACCAATGCACAGTTCAGCAATGCACTGTAACGTGGTACAGAGACAATGTACACAGTTGGCACAGACATCGTGCACAGATACGATGGGCCGAATGGCCTCCTTCTGTGTTGCATAATTCTATAATTCTATGGACTGCCTGAACATGGTATTTTGCCAGCCAATCCTCACAGACCCTCCCAATCCTTCAAGCCAACATCAAGAGGTTTCCAGAAATCTCACTGGGAGGAAATAATATCAGCACCATGTGCCCCGTCCCATGTGTCCACCTGGCATTCCTGGCCAATAGTGTGCTGACGGGAGCCAATCAGGAGAGCTTCAGTCTTCTCAGTCTTGCTGACATTCAACTGTAGAAAGTTGGCTCTCATCCAGGACTTGATGTGCGACAGGCAGTCTGTCAGGACATCAGTTGTCCTGGGGTCGAGGGTGGAGGCATAGAGATAGAGTTGGGTGTCATCTGCATACATGTGGAAGTTGACCCCATGTCTGCGGATGATGTCACTAAGAGGGAGCACATACAAGTTGAAGAGGAGAGGACCGAGGACAGACAACACTGTACATTTCAATGCACTCACAATCTTTACTGACACTTTTTTTCCAAGGAAAGTTTCACTCTCGAGACTCAGAATTGTGAGTTAATGATTAGGTTAGTCTGGAAACAGCATGAAATTAGCCTGATAACTCTGACGCCTATTTCTTGCTGCTTGTAAAATGTCCTTGTTGCATTATATAAACCAAGTGAGAGAAGAAAATGTCCACCACTTCACCAACTGCTCCTTCCTGCCTCAGTGTCTTGCACTGTCATACAGTCATTTCCCTTCATAGAAAGTAATTAAGCCTTGGATCTTGCCAACATGCACCTAATATTCTCTGGAATTAGGTAAGAAGGATGCTTCCCTCCAGGGAGAGAGTGTGTATTGCATTCCAAACATGGTAATTTACATTAAACGCAAAATACTGCAGATGCTCGAAATCGGAAACAAAAACAGAAGTCGCTGGGAGCACTCAGCAGGTCAGGCAGCATCTATGGAGAAAGGAAAGTGAATCAACGTTTTGGGTCCACGATCCTTCGTCAGAACTGAGGAAGGGTCATGGATCCGAAATGTTGAGTCACTTTCCTTTCTCCGTAGATGCTGAGTGTTCCCAGCAAATTCTGTGTTATGCTAATTTACATGCATTGGTAGCATTTATGGAATTCTCGGTTTGGATACTCTTAAGCTTGTGTCAGACCCATGCGGTTTTGGGCTGACCCCCAAAAAGTCACAATGACACGTGATGTGGCTGTGATTTTATCCGATGTTAAATAACCTTCCAAAACTCATTGTAAGGCTCACAAATAAATAATGGACACATGGGCAAAGAACTGGAGAGCAATAGGTTCCTGTGGAACTATACTCCAATAGATGGAAAAAGGAGTCAAGAAAGGAAGCAGGAACTGTTGTGAGTTGGCTCAGGAAATATTAAGCAGGAGGATCATGGATTTAAGCTCCATGTTGAGATTTGTGCTCAGAGTGATACTGCAGTACTAGATAGCAGAGAAAGTGCTATCCTTCAGATGAGATGTTAAACCAAGAATCCATCTGTGTACTCTGGTAAAGATTCAATTTGAAAAGAGAAGGGACTTTCCTACATTCCTCCTGGTATCCTGGCCAATAGTGTTTTTTCACATCATGGCTATTTGTGAAGCCTTGCTGATGCAAATTGGCTGCCACTTTTGCTTTTAAAAAAACAGTCCCTATACTTAACAGTAATTACCTGTGAAGCATTTTCTTCTGATAACCTGTTACCCATTTCCAGGATTTTCTGCTTTTACTTCCACAAGAAACACAACTGCTGTTTGGTCATAAACAAACCAGAGTTATATGCCTTAGAGCTGAGGAGATTAAAGGGTGATTTGATTAAGTATTTAAAATAATAAAATGATCTGACAGGTTAGGTGGTGTACGATTCTTTCCTTTGGTAGAGGGATCCGTTACAAGGAGGGCAGAGGCTTCAAATCAGAGCAAAGACAGTTGGGACTGAAGTTAGGAAGCATTTCTTGACGCAGGGACTCTGAAGATGTGGAATCATCTGTCCTAGAAAGCTGTAGAGGTGGATTCGATAGGGATGCCTAAAAGAGAGATGGACAGATGCTTGGGTAGTAGAAATGTAAAGGAATATGGTGAAATGGCAAACTATTGGGATTATGCCAATGAGTCATGATACGCAATTTCATATCGGGATATGATGCGTTTCTCCAACAAAATATACAGTCAATCCACATTACAGCATATTTTGTGAAATGCTTTGAGACGTATCAATGACACAAAAAGGCGCTATATCAAATGCAAGTATTATTATTATTAAAAAATATGCTAAAATCTAATAAACTGATGGAACTGGTTGATACGCTGAACAGCCTCTCTCTGTTACTCTTTTCCTATGTTCCTAAATGGACGTGCATCATTGGAACAAAGTCAAGCAATTTTACTCTGACCACATTATGGCAGAGTGCAGTCAACAGACAGGAATGATAATAGTACTGTAATTTCACCTGCCATGAAAGCAATTGGGGCTAATTATATGAATTGTTTACTAGAATTATTTTAAATTTGTGACCTAGGTAGTGTGTTAATGTTCCGGTTAGACTGGATACTTTTTGAAGAAAGTACATTACTGGGTTATGAATGATTTGATCTGAAGCAATGTAGAGGGGAGCTGTGCAACTATTACACTCTTTAGTGCCTAATTTGGCTGTGCAGTGATCTAATCAAGGGAGAGGAAATAGACCAGCAATGGTCAGCCCATGTAGGAGCAATCAATCATCATACTACAGCACTTACTGAAATAGGTCTATTCCCTTCACTGTTGAAACAAAAATGAGCATTCATCCTGACATGAGGAACTCACTTAAAATGATCAGCGCAGCCAACAGTTAGAACAACAATCTGGAAGGTGAAGAAAAAACATAAGGGAACGATTTTCCGGTCATTGCTAAATTATTATTTACCGACTAGCGGACACCATGGCACGTTTGGTCCACTGAGGTCAGTAAATTTACTGGTGACCGGGACGCACTGCCTTGCCAAGGTAAGAACATTTACTGAACAGCATGGAATAAGATTTCCAACTAGTTAGTTTACAAAAATACACAATCACTCCACTTCACAGTAAATCCTGTGCAGCATTTTAAGATGTCCTCCAGATGTGAAAAATGCTATATCAAATGTTAGGATTATTATAAGACACTCAAATTTTGTAGATACTAATTTAACTCAAAACATTACTGGGAATAGATCAGAGATTAGTTAGGAGTAAACAATTTATTTTTGGTCAGCCGGGTGTCTGACACACACAGAAACCCATCACAAGTATCCAAATCAAACTGCTCAGCATTGCACATATATACAAATGATTTTTGTTTGAGTTTTGAGCCAAGTCTCGAGGACCCAGGAGGTTGGTGTACTGCTGGCATGAACAATAAGATCATAAACTGAATGTAATAAGTGAGTTTTGTCATGCTTTACCTCAGCGAGTTCAGTGATGGAGACAAAGGTCCCCCTCAATCAAAGACTTAATTATTAGACAATGCTGGAAATCCACAGCCGGTCAGTTCACATCTGAAAGTGGAAGGTTGGCTGTTGATTTGCCCTTCAATTGACCTGCTGTAGATTTCCAGCATTTCTGTTTTCGTGTCAGACTTCCAACATCTGCAGTTTGATTTTTTATTTCCACTATTTTTAATTATTCCAAACGCAGCAGGGGAAGCCCTTATTCTTTTTCTAGCGTACGCTGGCAGCCTCTCTTTATTTTGTACTGTGACCCATGAGGTAGCTGCAATCGTGTTCCACAGCTAGAAGAGCAGAACATTTAAATCAAGGGGGAAATCAAGCGACCCAGTAACAAAACCTCAATGTCAAGAGGGGGAAAGGAGGGAATTGGGTAACTCTGCAACATTTTCAATTTTTTTCTTTCCTTGCGGAACTAAGGGCTTCCCTTTTTGTGTTAATTTGATCACTATTTAAGACAAGCTATTGTTTTTCATTAGGAAAAAATCTTTTTGGCTGCCCTGCCAGTCAAGTATGGACTGAGAGAGCCCACCTGCTATATTACTTTTATTCCTAGCGCCGTCTGGTCTGAAGACACTCAAACATTCTCAGTGAAGGTCGGCTTAGTTTCAAGACTTACAGCACTGAGCAATCCTCTTTATTCTTGGGTCACTGCCAGTCAGAGTCAGAATCCAGGGCAGAAATCACACAAGGATTTCTGGATCCAGCCTCCAATATAAAGCCCTGAGCATCTTCAAAACACATGGGGGTAGCAACTAAAATACTTTTAACTAGTTCCTGGCTATACAACCAGAAGCCTACAACATGTCAATAGAAGAATATTTTAGCTTTAAGATTGCAGAACAATACAAACCTGGAAGGTCCAATGCTCTGACTACGATCAGCAAGGGCACTATTGGCGGTACTATAGTTACTGCCCCCTAACTTAGGGAAGGAAAAGGAACCAAGCTTCCTGCTCCTAATTACTATCTATTGACCCCTGCTCTGAAGTGTGTGCATATGGGGGCATCAAACACCTGACATTTCTCATGTTTTTAGTGTAAAATTTTAAATTGTGCAAAAATATAGTTTTGTTATGGAAGCCAAATTTACGCAGTTTTTTTTACGTAGTGTGGAAAAAGATTTTTCCAAATTCAACTTAAATTTTAAAACAATCATCTTAAGCCTGAGAATGTGTGAAATTTCTGATGCTAGGTGAGGACAAAGATCAGGCTTTGTGGTTATCACCTTTAGTCAAATATATCCAATACCTACTCGGCTGACAAATGTAGAACAGCCACTTAGGGGGTGTCCCAGAGATTGCCAGTGACTACAGAAGAGGAGAGAACAACTGTATCAGCCTGGTTCATTTGGAAGCAATATTGCCTCTGAGTCACAGGATTATGGGCTCAAGATCTACATTAGGACTTTGAACTCAGTCTAGGCTGACATTTCAGTACAGTGCTGGGGGAGCACTGCATTGTTGGAGATGTTGTCCTTCTGGTGAGATGTTAACCCAAGATCTTGTCTGCCTGTTCAGGTACATGTTAAAGATCTAGTGATACTAATGAGAAGGGAGTTTCTTCCAGTGTCCTGGCCAACAATCCCCCAGATACAATTGTTCACTCACTTCACGGCTGTTTGTAGGACATTGCTGCGTGCAAATCGTCTGCCTCCAGAATATACAGTCACAGCACTTTACAGTGAAACCCTATTAAGCATTTTAAAATATCTCAATAACGTGATAAGATGCTATATCAAATGAAAGGATTATTATAATCACTGGAGGAGGAAGATGAGGGATCATGTTTGATTTGGTTACCTTTGCCTGGATTCTCTCTGACATTTTGGCCCAGGAAAAACAAAATCAAAAATGGAAATAATTCTGAAGGTTTAGCTCACCAACTGATAGCGACATGGCCTGGAGCAGCAGAGTGGAATGCAAGAGTAAATGAGAGGAATGTCGATTGAAATGACGGGCTTTATAAAAAACAAAAGCAACACACAGGAAGGAAGCAAATTACAGAGTAGTTAGGCAACCTCATTATAACTTCATCAATTAATTTAATGCTGAATATTCGAACTTGTTTCATGTAGCGCTGGCATTCCTCATTCTTAGATAGAGGGCATGTAAAATGTTGGCTATCTATGACCAATTTTATGGTAGCAGCTTCAATGCCTTACAAAGCAGTACAAGCTCAGGTGAAAGATTTACCCAGTATTGCCTTCTCAATCATTCCATCTGGAGGAAGCACCAAATGGGGTAGTTCCCACAGAGCTTCATATAATGCTTCCCATAGAGATGAAATATTTTAAATCTTCATTGACAAATCAAATTAAATTAATTTTCATCTAGATAGGTTTTCTTAAAACAAACAAAAATGCAATATTTCTGCATATTTCTCCTATATTTGTATTATGCTATCAAGCTAAAATTGAATTAAATACATATTTGTTATCAAATGCAAGGATTATTATTATTACAAGTACTTTATTTTGAATGCTTTCGAGACATGACATATCCTCCTTGGCATGAAAGGTGCTAACCAAATGTAAGGAGTACTGTTATTAATGATAATAACTGTAGTAATAATAATAATCTGAGAATATTTTAGTACAGTGATAAAATGCGGATAATTTATTTCACACAAACTTTGGAAACCAAAACTCTGATATATTTTACCCTCAAAATTGGGTAAAAATTCCATTTAGTGTTACATATATCTCCAAGCAATGTCAGGGATTTCCCATTGTAGTCACACATTGTCACATGTGTAACACTACATTTTTACCTCAATAGGAAATGGGTGATGTCTAAATCAGAAAAATTATACAGCACAGAAGGAGGCAATTCGACCCATCGTGTCTGTGCCGGCTCTTTGAAAAGAGCTATCCAATTCAATCCCACTCCCCCCCTCTCTCCCCAAAGCCCTGCAAACTTATCCATCCCAAATAATTATCTATATTATAGATATTATCTATGTATAAATATAAATGGCAGTAAACCTACAGAACACGGGAGTTTGAAAATGTTGTATTTTAAACTCAATCGGAAATTTACAGACCTTCAGAGACACCCCAATATAGAAACATAGGACAACGGAAACACTAGGAAGCCATTAATCTTGGCAGATCTTTTAATACCTTTTACCAAATCCCTCAATGCTTGTTCTACTCAAGAATCTGTCTATCTCTCTTTTAAACATTCAATGGTTCAGACTTGCACAGCTCATAACCAACACAAATGCACACGTGCTTATCCTTTTTTGATGTTGCAGTACAATAAATTAGGTGCTTGGTGATTTATAGTGCAGTAGAAAAAAGCACAGTCTTAAAATTCAAATGATACTGCAAATGGTAAACGGAGTCTTATTCATAGATAATCAAAAGAGGGGTTCGGGGGATGAAAGTCCTTTAGGTTATTTGATCTCATCCTTTCAGAATCTCATTTCACTGTAAATGCTCTCCGGGATTACAGAGACAATGTGAAACCGATGGAGGTTCAGAATGCATTTGCACCTTAGTCTTAATGTCACGTTCTTGGGTGTCCAGCCAGCAACGTTAAATGTTTTGAGTCGTCGTCTCGACATGAAATGTGGAAGGTGTTATACAAATTGTATTCTATTCACCTCCAAAAACACAGCCAGTACACTTTAGGTGAAAGGCCCTAAATGAAATATAAGGATGATTTACTGTGTTCTGCACCTCAAGAACCATGGTGTCAGAGAATGTTTTTCAGCTTACTCAAATAGGTAGGAGCAATAGGCATCTAAATACAGAAACATAGAAAAAGACAAAAGCACTGCACTTACCCCCAAACATTGACATGAGCGACTGCGGTGATATCAATCTGTAGCTGGACAGTGTTGCTGTCAGGATTATCTTTATTTGAGCTGAAACAAAGACAGAAAACTCATTAGAGACAAATGAATGAATGCAAGGTTTGAAAGCTCTCATGTTGTTAGGCTTGAGAGCATTTTAATGCAAAATTGTGGAAAATTCTTAAATTCAGTCACAACTTGCAAACTGTTTTACTAAATAAACAGAATTTAAGAATCTTCCACAATTCTACAAGATCATATATTTAGAAACAAAATGGTTTTAGAAGCTAAGATTAATAGGAATTAAAGATAGTGAGGAATCAATGTTCCGGTAATATTCATAAAATCAATTTGAACATCAACAACAAATTGCATTTATAAGCGCCTTTCACGTCAGAAGGACATCCCTAATTTCAAATGCAAGAATTTAGATCAAATGCAAGGATTATCAAAACACACATGTATCCTGCAAAAATTACACCTTCTGGAATATATGTATATTAGTATTGCAACCCACAGATTTCATGAGTTAATAGTCAGATAATGTGTCCTTAAATTTGTCAAACAAGTATTTGTAAAAGAAGCCTGTGTGAACTAAAATAAGCGTAGCATTGATGTGTCACATACGATATCTATTTAAGCAAAGAAAAACAATGATCTGGCTTCCGTTTCACTCCCTTATATCCTAAAAAGGAACTTGTCTACTGTTGATGATTGATGACTGCATTACTTATTTTTGTTCTTTTCAGTATTTATTTTAGAATGGGTTAGATTTTCATTACTTCAGCAAAGATCTGGAGGTCATAGGGTGTTTATGTTTTGACAATTTCTTTACTTTTTCATTCCAGTTATATTCATGGCAAATTGGCCTAAGTCTATTTGGAGGTTAAGCTACAAAGTAAATATACTAATTGTTGACAGTACGCACTAATAAAGAGAAATAGGGTGGTTAATTAATTAAAGCAGTATTGCATTATGTGTATAATGAAGTATTATTGGGATATCTATTGTTAGCCTGGCTCAGTTGGTAGCACTTCTTGCTTCAGAGTCAAGAAGGTTATGGGTTCAAGCCCCACGTCGGGACTTGGAATCACCCAGTCTATGGTGACACTCCAATCCAATGCTGTGGGGTGTGTTTCATTGTCGGAGGTGCTGTCCTTTGGATCAGACATTAAACTGAGGTCCCATCTGCCTGTTCAATGGATTTTAAAGATCCCAGGGCACTATTCGAAAAGAGAGGGCAGTTTCTCCCAGTGTCCCGGCCAATAATCTCTTAAATAAAATTGGTCATTCATTTCATGCTGTTAATGGTGGAACATTAACAGCATGAAATGCCTGTGTGGAGTCCTGTAGCTCAGTGGTTAGAGCACTCACTTTGCAAGTGAAAGACCTGAGTTCAATTCCAGGCAGAGGGCGAAACCTTGGGCAAGTTTCCTTACTCCACACAGAGCCTAATAATAATCCCTCCAAAAACAATAATAAATTGGTCATTTTCAATCTACGACTGTTTGTGGGACATTGCTGTGCGCAATTGGCTGCCGCGTTCGCCCACAAATATACAATCAATTCACTTTACAGTGTGTTCTGTGAAGCACTTTGGGATGTCCTCCCGACGTGAAAAGCGCTATATCAACTGCAAGGATTATTATTATTATAACATTGCTATGTATAAATTGGCTGCTGTGCTCATTCAGAAATACAGTCACTCCACTTCGCAGTAAATCCTATAAAGCGCTTTGGAAAGTTCTCCCGATGTAAAAGTTGCTATACCAAATGCAAGGATTATTATTATTATACCTTACTAAATCTTTTTTTGTAAACTTTTTTAGTGTTACATTTAATGCTGAAATTCACTCAGTAGCATTTGCTGGTAAAGGTAAGAAAGCTAGGTTAACAGTCAGTTTCTCCACCTGTACGCCTATATTATTGTAGCAGTTCATTTATTGACAAACCCAGACTGAACAATAATTCACTTCAATTCAGCCATCAAGATTCACAAATAGACTTTCAGAATCTGAGAAAAAATCTTCCATTGTGGTGAAGCTCAGTTGTATCCAGAGCACATGTGCATATTTAAGCTAAAATAAATCTGGTATGTGTCATTTAAACACTTTTGGCATATCCACAGTCTTATAAGCAGGGAAGGTTCTCCAGAGAAGGTTTCAACCAAAACACGTAGTCAATTCACGTTACAGTATATTCTGTGAAGTGATTTGAGACATCTAGAAGGTGTGATAAGACGCTATATCAAATGCAAGGATTATTATTAATACCTGTTACCAAGGCAAGGGTTCCACAACTGGTATGACTCCATAAAGGCAATCCTTAAACCATTCTGGTAACAATCTTTGTGGCTACCTTGAAGTATTTTCAGTACAACTACAACCCCCTCGACCCCAATCATACATTTTTTTACACTTTGAAGTCAAATGATACTTTTAACACAATTAGTTTGCACTCTATGAACTATGCACTCACCTCAAAGTCAATTCAATATTAAAGGGGTGACTTTGTATCTAATGTTACATAATCTTATCCATCTCTCTCTCTTTGACTCCTGTTGACTTAAGTTTATGATGGTCAATGATAGATTTATGATAGGGCTGACCTTTTCATCACTGTGCTGCTACTTTATCCCTTTGACTACCACACGTTAGAGGCTGTACCTCTTCTCAAGCATGTAGAACTGTATCAGCTGTATACTTCAATAAGTTTCAAAAAGGAGATGACTTTGACAATCGTGTGAGAATGATCCACCACTATTTGACTGAACCTTCTCACTAGTGTGGAATAAATGCCCTAACTGGCAGTAAACTGTCTCTCAGGAGCAAAAGTTAAAAGTAGGGGTCAAAATTGCAGTCCCCTTCTCCTTACGTATTGCTAACAAAAAATAAAGAATTGGATAGAAACTGTGGTTTAAAAGTTTTCCTTTAATAACCGTCTTAGGACTGACCCTTACCGCACTCTTATCCTGCCTTTAAGTATACAAGCTGATACAGTTCCGCATGCTTGAGAAGAGGTACAGCCTCTAAGGTGTAGTAGTCAGGTAAATTCGTCCACAAATACACAGTAATTTCATTTCACAGTAAATCCTTGACGTGCTTTGGAACGTCCTCTCAATGTGAAAGGAGCTATACCAAATATAAGGATTATTATTATTATGGTTCCTCTGTCAGGCTTCTCATAGTCAATTTGAACTATCTCCCCAAATCTCTGTGTTGCATCTTCTCTCCTTGACTGCAAAACCCTTAANTTTTTTGACCAGGCCTTTGGCCAGAACCCTTAAACTCCTCGTCATGTCCTCTCTACCTCCAACGTTCCCACAGCCTCTATGATATTCATCCTTTGTGGAGGCACTGGGTAAGTGAAATCTGTTGTTATAATAAAGAGGCAGAGAAAACATCAAGACTATGTCCTACACGTCAATGAATATTAATCTATGCGAACCAGAACAATGTAAACAAAAAGTTACCTTTTACTTGGAAACATGCTGACTCCATGTGTGGTGCCATACCTCCCTCTAGAAGGACATTCCTTTAAATTAAATTGAACTGTACTGATAGATTTAATCTGGAATTAGCTGGAGTTTTTGATTGCCAGTAAAGAAAAAGAAGCCATTTCTAATTGTCCTGCTTTTTTAAAAAAAACAGATGGATATCGCCTGACTCACCTTTTGATCTGCAGGTCGAACCTGATGCTGGCATCTGCCTTTTCCAAGCGTTGAACGGAAAAGCGTAGCCCTACAGACAGCTGGGAAAAAGGATAGATCAAAGGATTAGCCAGCAACAGCTGGGGAAGTTAAAACCCTGAGCTCCTGCTGTGGAACATAGCTACAGGCTGCCACACAAAAGCCTCCACCTCAGTAAGCGTTAAATCTGTTAGTTCACGCTGATTATGTGACTCATCAGTTCACTTAATATCATCCCCAATGATAGTTTTCTTTTTCCTGAGGCCTTTAACGTTTCACAGTTTGACAATTACTGACCACTGAAGGGAAAGTGGGGTTGGTGGGGGGGGAGAGGAGGAGTGGGAGAAGGAGGGCAGGGGTGAATTTTGTCTCACAAAAATCACTGTGAAGCAAAATGGTTTAAGGCTCCCTGTGCTTCTTTAATACTTACATGCATGCTTTTTTGTGTGCGCGTTTGCGTACAAAACCATTATGCTGCTCAACTACTTAGATCAACTCTGGGAGGAATTTAAGTGTGACATTTTAATACTAAACAGCCTACAGAGCTATGTACAAAACCACTGGGTAATAGGTAACAGACAGAGTGCTCCTTTTGGATTACCGAGAGGTAAACCTCTTTTTAATATATAGACGATAGTCTGCAGTCCATACAGGCTAACAGTGCCAAATGTATCCCATGCGTATCACACAGAAGCACAGCACCTGTATCAGTGCCACATGTTCATTCGTGGGCTGAAATTCCAGTCACACTAGAAGCGAGGCACCTCTGACGACATGTGACTGTAATGGAGAAATCCCATTAGTGACTGACATTATCGAAGGTTCTGGAGTGACAGCAACTGGAATTTCAGCCCATATTTACTGCCACCTGGAAGTGACTGCAGTGATATGATTTTAACAGTTTAAGGGGTGAATCTGAGATGCGCTATGATTTTGTTCTTACTCAAATGGACAACTGTGTTTTATTCTGGTCCTGTTTCTATATTGAGAAACAACATCATGGCTTTGAAATCACTCTGACATATCTGCCATTTTTATAATAATAGTGGATACATCAGAGTGCAATTGTGGTGCATGTGGATAGTTTAGATCTATGGTATTTTTGAATAATAGTGAATAGTCCATTACAAAGATCATTGACTAGTGCTCCCCATATCAGGCACACATTCACATTGTAATTAATATAATCAATACTCAACACTGACTACTATCAAGAAGCCATATAGACTTCATTCAATCTATCTTTTGTAAATGAATAATGGTTCTTCTACCTGCATCACAGTTTGTCTCTCTCTCAAAAACAGCTTCTCTACTATGGTAGGCAATACATTGTATCCAGTTTACATCATGAATGTGAGACACACAAGACACATAATTAAGGACACATAATTATATCCTTACGAGACAAGATGGGGAACTGGACTTGAGTTACAGATCAGTCATGATCTTATAAAATGGCGGAACGGCTCGAGGGGCTGAATAGCCTACTCCTGTTTCTATCCTATGTAGGGTAGCTTTGCCCAGCATGTAAATAAATTATCCAAATTTGCCTATTATTGCAAATATAGACTCTGATTTTAACACAATGCTGTAAACATTTTCAAAATGTTAGCAGCCTATAACATACATTGTTGCTAATTGGTTAAACAATTCTATATCAGGCCCAGGCTTCAATAAAATAATTCCAGCTTTAATGACAAACTTGTTCACACCCGATCAAAACAACCAACTAAATTAAACATTGACTAATCTAAGATGCAGCCTTTGATCTGGTTTAGCACCAGCCAAGTGGTACAATATTAGACCTCCACAGAATTCAAACAAGAGCATCAATTATTTCAAACCAGAGCCGTTAGCTTAAAAACAACACAAAGCATGTCATCCAGAAGCTGAGAACTTTACAAGCAGCTTAATGCTGAATGTTGACAAGCGTTTCAGTAAGAACATGTGTTTTAGCACCTACAAATACACAATCATTACACTTTACAGTAAATCCTGTGAAGTACTTTGAGATGTTTCAACAACGTGATAAGGCACAATGCCAAATGCAAGGATTATAATTATAATATTGATGCACAGAAATTTATATCCAAAATTTGCAAAGCTGGAAACATTCAGATGCAGAGCCAATATTGTTGATTACATTTTGATTTTACATAGTTAAAGAGATGGCTTTGTAGTGTGAAACAATCAACAGTGATTTACACGTATATACAGACTTGCCTACTTTTGATACTTTTTAAATTAGGAGAATAATATTGACATTTATTTTACCTCGACTGTTTTGGGATTTTTTCAATTTTAGCGAACTTTGCCAATACAACAATGATCGACTTTGGGTTGTAAGGTCACCATAAAATGTCACTTCTTGCACAGTGCACGTGTATGCAGACACCCCTCCAATGTCATTTCCTGCGCAGGCGCAGTTTGCAGGAAATTATGTCTGCGGCGACATTACAATCTGGAAGCCGATAATTTTGGAAGTTCTTTCGGTCAGCGGGTGTCCAATATATGCAGAAACCCATCACTGTACTTAAGAGTATTCAAATCAAGCTGAGAGTTCCATGCATCTCACCTACATTTGGATATTCCCGTCTATTGGAATGGAATGCGCACTCTCTCCCCGGAGGGATGCATCTTGCTTACCTAATTCTGGAGAGTATGAGGCACAGATTGGCAAGAGCTAGGCTTAGGGACCCCAGAGTGTCCATTGTTGGCGTTTAACCAGCAAAAAGCACATAGCTTGTCTTTGAAAAAGCTGTTTCGAAATCTTCCTGCTGCTTGTCCAACTCGGACCACACTATCTGTTAGGGCTTTGATTTCTGCAGTTAACAGGAACTGAAGGAGAAAAATTCTTGCTCCCAGTGACTGGTGTTCCCCTCCAAGTCTTGTCGATGAGCCAGACTGGCTGGGCCGTCATCTGTAGAGTCCTGGATCTACCTGGCTCGGCAACTGAACTACTGAGACTGCCACAGAGGGTTGGCTCGATTCTGACATTCCAATGCAAAGTATGCCAGTTCAACTCTAAAGAAACCTCACTTAAGTCTCCACCGCCAGCCCCTCCCCACCCCACACACACAGGAAGGTATTGTGGTTTAAAACATGATAAAAATATATAGTTTAAAAGCTGATGTTTTATAAGGGTAATTCAATTTCCTTGATTTGGAGAAAATAGGAAAAAGCAACAAATACCGATTTCTACTAATTAAAATCAGAAACTGGCAAGCCTAATTAAACAGTGTCGCATTTTTCAAATAGAAAATGTTTCAAAGGGATTTTTCTTGGTCAGCTGGGTGTCTCGACTCTCGACTCTCTACCCCCTCCTCACTCCCTCCTTTCCCTCCCCTCACCCTGACCATTTCCCCCCTGCTCGGGTCCCGACCTAACTGTTCAGCGCCTTGGGACGTCCTCCCGACGTGAAAGGCGCTCTATAAATGCAATCTTGTTGTTGTTGTAGCATGGTAGAATCAGATAGTGAGATGCATTCAAGAGGAAGTTAGATCTTCACATGAAGGAAAGGGAAATAGAAAGCTCTGAAGGGAGTAAGAAATGGATGGAGACTCACGTAGAGTATAAACACTGGTACGGACTGCATTGTATATACTGGCACAGACTGGTTGGAGTGATTGGTCTGTTTCCGTGCTGCACATTCTTTGTAAATCCACAGAAACATGCTCCTTTAAGCGAGTCAGGCAGGAAAGTATTTAGGCCAAAAGTTTTAAGACTTAGTGGAAATCCACTTCTGCATTTAATTATACAATCCAAATTGCAGTATTTTTTTTAATTTTTTTTAATAACCCTCAGAACCCGACTTAAGGGATGTTTTTGCCAATTCTACAATATGCTAATAGTGTAATAATGTCTTCACTGTGTTATGAAACAAAACAAAATGCTTCGACAAAATGGATCTAAATCAGGGCGATGCATACCTGAGCCACCATAATAATAATAATCCTTGCACTTGATATAATGCCTTATCATGCCCTCAAGATGTCTCAAAGTGCTTCACACAATATACTATAAAATGAATTGACTGTATATATATATATTGTGGGCGAAATGCAGCAGACAATTGTGCAGTGTCCCGCAAAACAGTTGTGGATTGAGTGACTAAATTATTAATTTAAAAAAATTATTTGAAGGGATTATTACCTTGTTCTGTTGATTGGCAGAAAAGCGATCCTCCAATCGACTAACAATCAGGTTCCTATTCCTACTTAAATTGAGGGGTGCGGAATAAGGAAACTTGCTCAACATTTCAGCCTACCCAGGAATCAAACACAGGTCTTCTGGCTTGCAAGGCAAGTGCTCTAACCAATACTCTATAGTACTTCACAAGTAGCAACTCGTAGTAACCAGAAATGTGTCATGTTGCTTGTGGGAACTGCACGTAGATCACAATGGATTGCAGTTATTTCAGGTCTGTGATGCATTTTTAGTTACCATCTGGACTTTCTATCTCTGATTCAGAGATGATATTACCCAGAATCTCATGGAGCAATACAGCAGAAACAGGCAATTCGGCCCAACTAGTCCATGCCAGTGTTTATTCTCCACCTGAGCCTCCATCTTTCCTATTCCCTTCTCCCATACCCCTCTTTTCCCTTCTTCCACATGTATACATATGCATTGATCCTTGCATTTGACATGTTGTCTATAACGTTGAAACATCTCAAAGTGCTTTACAGGAAATTACTGTAAAGTGAAGTGACTGTATTTGTAGGTGAACGTGACAGCCAATTTGCACACAGCAATATCCTGTAAATAGCCATGAAGTGAATGACCAATTTATCTGGGGGAATTGTTGCCCCGGGCATTGGGAGAAACATCATTCTGTTTTTGAGTGGTGTCATGGGATCTTTAACATTCAACTGAACAGACGGATAAGTTTATCATCTCATCTAAAGGACGTCATTTCTGAGAATGCAATGCTCCCCCAGGACTGCCCTGAAATGGAAGCCGAGGCAATGAGCTCAAAGCCCTGATATGGTTTGAACTAACTCACAACCTTCTTCAGTAGCAGCAAAATCATCTTATTTTTACTTACATTGGTTCCAGCGACCATGGGGTTCCCAAGGTCGCAGACAACCATTTGAGTTGAATTGTCCACCTTGTATGCACAGCTTAGCTTGCTTAATGCCTATAGAAAAACAGAACAGAGTTATATAAACCACATGACCCTTTTATAATAATCCTTATATTTGATATAGCGTCATATCCCATCTTGAAGCTATCTCAAAGTGCATCACAGAATATATTGTAAAGTGAATTGACTGTATATTTTGTGTGCGAAACACAGCAGCTAATTGCGCACAGCAGTTTCTCACAGAAAAGCAATCCACTGATCGACTAACAACCGGGTTCACAATTACTGCTAGGTAAACAGAGGTGTGTAGCATAAAGAAACTTGCCTATCCTCTTGCCCTGCCGGGAATCGAACCCAGGTCCTTGCTTGTGAAGAGAGTGCTCTAACCACTACGCTACAAGACTCCACTACTTTGCACACTAAGAAAGAGATCTGTTTGTAAAACACATCCCAGGTAAATAAAGAATAAGCAACAATGGAATTACAAAATTTATAGGGTGAATGGACATGATGACCGTTGTGCTGTGTACAAAGTTATAATAATAATAACAACATTTGATGTAGTCCCTTTCATGTCAGGAGGATGTCTCAAAACACTTCACAGGATTCACTGTAAAGTGGAGTTACTGTGTGTTTTGTAAGTGAACATGGTAGCTTATTTGTGACACATAGAAGCAGTTGCACTCAAAAAAAAGGTTTAGAGAAGCTAAAAGAGAACATGAAAGCATCAAAACAGCAAAGCAAACAATAACACCAAAAAATCTTCCAATGTTATAATAGCAAGGAGTCAACTGTACACAATTCAAATGGAGTTGATAAAGAAGATGAACAGGTGATCATAAACACATTTTATGGCTACTCGGCAGTTTGTAACAAGGAGAACACTAACACTTATGCTGTCCAGCATCTAATACATATCAGGTGACATTGGACACTCGTGAGCCAGAGGCTTCTAATAATCTCAAAGGCCTGAGAATCAATGCATTCCTCAGGACGGATGAGCTAAAGAGCAGGATACTCAGCGAGACAAAGGAGGAAATTTGTGAAGTGCTGATGGTCATTCTGGGAGAATTAATGAACACTGGAAGGTTTCACCAGACTAGAACAGAGAAATGTGCTTTTTATATTCAAGAATGGTGACAAAGCCATCCCCAGTAAACATAAACCCTTGGCATAACCTCAATAAATGGAAAAATTAAGGGATGACAGTGCAGCCCCATTATAATACATTTCTTTATAAAGCAAATTCAGCTATAAAACATTACAGTGTGTATCCCATTCAACTGGATAAAGAGGATGGTAATATAATGGCAATATCATTGGACCGGTAACCCAAAATTTGTCCACAAACTTTACAGTGTATCTTCTTAAAGGTTTTGAGACATCTTACTGCAGTGAAAGGTACTATATCAAATGTAAGGATTATTATTACATGGTTTAGTGGTTTTAGTCCCACTGTGGATGAGTAATCTGAATTTAAAAAGTGTGGTAATTTGAGCTAGTACCAGAAAAGTAGCCACAAAGATGCCAGATTATTATTCACTAATGTGCTTGAGGGAAGGAAATGTGCCAACCTTACCCTGCCTGCATGTGACTCCAGTCCCACACAACTTGTTGACCATTAACACCCTCTGAATGCCTAGCAAAATAAAACGATGCAAAAATGTTCAAGGACTGCAGCGGTATATGAAGAACGAACACCAGCACCTTCTCAGGCAGCCAGGGATGGGCAATAATTGCTGATCATGTCAGTGTCATCCACATTAGTGATAAGCAAGAGAAGGAAGCAGATATTTGATTTTTTCTGAACTAGACTGAAATGGTGAGAGGAAGGGATGGAAAGAGGAGTGAATGTAATAATATAGCTGTTTTTAACCCATCCCCCCATCACACTGTGATACTGTTTGTAGGTCACAACATTTGACAGAGGATTCTGCTGCAAGTAACAAATTGAGATTTCTAAAAACAATATGGTGCTATTTCTCTTTAGTACTCTCCTGAGGCTATAAAGGACCAGAAGCCTTCAGTAAAAGCTGCGTGATAGATAAGTGGTCTATTTCCTCCTCATCCAATTTTACTATTGAGAATTCTTCACAACACATTGGCAGACATTTGTATGTATGCATATACACAAATTAAATCCAAGCAGAACAGTGAAAACAATTTTTTAACAAATAAATGTTCTGCTGTTAAATTAAATTACAGATAAATTTGAGGCAGTCATAAGAAACATATGTAAGTAACAGAATAATTAGTTGAAGAGAGAATTTCACCTCATGTCAAGGTTTAACAAAAAAAAGTTGCAAAGGATTATGATTCACTCTAAGAACTGTTTTTCTCTGTTCACACACTGCGTTTCAGGAATATTTTCACATTAACAGATAACATCATTGAGCAAGTGCTTCCGAACCCGAGGGTGAAGAAGCTGCAGCAATATATACAGTTAATGCGGAAATCCACCTGCTAGGGCTATATACGTGTAAATTGTAGTTGCTCATAATGCTATAATAAAAATCCTTACATTTGTTAGAGCACCATTCACATCAGAAGGATGTCGCAAAGCGCTTCACACGATTTACTGTGGAGAGACCATGTATTTGTAGGTGGACACTTATACTTAGCAATGTCCCACAAACAGCCATGAAATGAATGACCAATTTTATTCTGGTACCCTGTGTTAATGATTGTATCTCTTCTGCTATTAATTCAGCTCTCTATTAATAATAATAATAATCCTTGCATTTGATATAGCTTTCACATCTTCTAGACGTCTCAAAGCGTTTCACAGAATATGGTTTAAAATGAAATGACTGTATATTTGTGGGCGAAACACGGCAGCCAAATTGAGATATTAATTAATTGAGATATTAAATATTAATTGAGATAGAGAGCTGTAATGTGATAGATAAGAAACCAACCTCAAAGCCAGTGATCTTAAAGACCTCATCAGTACTCACTATTTTTAATATAAAGAATCGATAAAGTGGAGGAAGTATGGTGCTAAATTAACACACTGTCCTTTAAACCCAATTCAAATCCTGGAATAAAATCTCGGATTGACAACATTCCATTAAACGCCTACCCACTGTTCAATTTCAATTGCTTCTTCATATTTCATTACACATTATATTACACATTCCCGATCGATATTATGCTGCACATCTAACAGAAACAATAAGAGATTGTGAAGGAAAAATGTCCGAAAATATGACCTTTAACAGCCACCAAATTCGAGCCATCTGTGAAATTATGTTAAATTGATTTATGTACATTGCATCTTGACAGTTTGCAACAAGACATTATGCGACATGAATTAGACCTTGTGCCTTCTCTTCTCTTACCTCATTGTTGCGAATGACACCGATGTAATCTGATTCAGGAGGTATTGTGACATAGAGTTCAGCTTCATATGCTCCCTCTCCTTCGTTCTTTGCATTTATGATTAAAGTTAGCGGGATCTCATCTCCAATTATCAGCTGCTGTCGGTCACTGAGGAGCATAGAATGTTTGGTTGTCACTTTAAAGCTTCTGCATTTTTACTTTATCTTCTTCTAGCCAAACTGACAGGATGTTAGCATGTATAAACACCATAGATTGTGATGAAATCCACCCTTACTGGCTATAAAAATCATTACAAATCTGCCACAATAAAATACCATTTATCAGGCTGTAAAGACTTCCTATTGATCACTGTGATCATATATAGCACTATTCACAGAGGATGAACGTTTTGAAGAGTTTCATAAATATGGAGGAAAGGAGTGAGAGATGGAGGATGTTGAGCAAAGGACAGTCAGAGACATACATTTTTAGGAGGGTTTTGAAGGCACAAAGGAAAGGCACAATCTTTATGGAAAATGCACTGAATACACGTGATTTACAACTTACGGGCTGGCTGAAAGTTTAAGCATTGGAATGCACAGGTTGTCGTCTCCACAGTCCAGCAGAATATGAGCCTGTAATGACAGGAGAGCAGCTATGATGATAAACTCTGGATTTTGGCTTTGATGCATATTTAAAGATTTCGTATTTACACGACAGTTCCATGTAAGCCAAGGATCTGCCTAGGATAGTAAATCAGGCCTTAGAAACAAGCTTAAAATAGGTATTTAGGCAAAAAACATCAACTAGGCATCAAGAATCAGGTCCGATAGGTGAAGGAACAATTAAGCTGAGCATTGCATGTGTTGTAGTGTGCTCACTGATTCTTATTTTGTCAAAGAGTGAGGAAAAGGATTCCAATATGTGCTGGCTGGCTGAGTGCCATAAGGGGAACAAATCTAATCTAAAACATTATTATATCTGGCTATCGTAATATAAAGCAGTAAAACGACATTCATGTCCAGCAAAATCCCTCGACTCCAAATAAACTCCTTCAGCTAGGAGGGTGGTTTACACCATGCTGCGGAGTGTTCCACATCTGCCACCCATCCTGCTCTGTGATTAACCAGCAGCACACATGTTAAGGCAGCTCAGGATACAGCACGTAAATTTCATCTCATCTTGATGTGTACCTCACTTGAATTGAAAACGTGGCATTCACAAACCATAGCGCTGCATAACTGCAAACTGGAATCGTGAATTTGAACTCATATCATCTATGTTTTTCTCAGTGTGGGTGCCTTGGGCCATCCTCCTGAAGTGAATGGCGCTGTATAAATGTATTCTATTGCTGTGGAAGGCATAATCACAACCTGCACTTTACTTTTCTGCCATTTCTCGGCTGGGAATAGAGCGGAAACATACGACAAAAGGTTGGAAAGCAAAACACCAACCTTTGTCGGCCTTCAGGACGGTGTTTCCTTTCCCCCTCCTCTCCACCCCCGGTGATCAAGTGTTAGCCTGGCTCAGGTCCTAGGACCCTCGGCTCTGAGCCATAAAGTTGTAACTTGAAATTCAAGCCCCTCATCAGGACTTTCATATAGTCCATTTATCTCAGCGTGCTGGCCAACAATTCCTGACATATTTACTTCATAGCTGTCCATTAAACATTGCTCTCTGCAATTAGTTGCTGCATCCAGCTACAAAATATACAGTCACTGCACTCTACAGTAAATCCTGTGAAGCACTTTGAGTAATTTGGAACAAGGTGATAAAGTGCTATCTCAAATATAAAGATCACTATTAATATTCCATGTTACGTTTCCAGATCTTGCTTTTTTCAATTAAAATAGCAGATAAAATTCAATCAAAACATTAGAATCTGGAATGGTTTTACAAAATTGACTCCTCAAAGCAAGAACTATGCCTCTTGCTTCAGCACTACTACAGCTCATATATGTTAGTTATGGTTTAAATATCTAATTTGTGTAACACAGTAGATTGTCAGTGCTGACAATTCTCTCTTTACCCCCTCCACCCCCCACAACCCCGCTCCATTATGGCCTTGGAATTGTGCAATTCGGAAGCTGGATTTGCAAAAGTTTTATTTATCATTCATTCTCAGGCTGTGTTAGGGATTGCTCTGAGAAGGTGGTGATGAGCCTTCACTTTATACCCCTGCAGTCCTCAGTGGCCCAGAATGATGAAGAACTACTCTTGCCGGTAACCAGAAGTGTGAATTCTGCTCTTGAATCAGATGCACTGTAGCCCCCATTATAGCTTGGCGGTTGGATTCCATAAAATCCTAACTCGCGCTGTAACAAGGTACAAACGCTGGTTTTAATCCAAGCAGCCGGCTGGCTGGCTCACTTCCTGCACATCATCTGGTTCTCACGCGGCAAAATAGGAAGTTACATCAGCGACTTGATAACCTGAAAGTCAGCCATATGTTTTAGCAAGTGAGCGACAGCTATATGTCTACACATTAAAGAAACAGATTACTTCAATCTATCCATTTCATCTTTGAAGACTGTGTACTTGCCAAGTCTTCTATATTATCATGTTTTTACTTTGTTCTCATTCCTTTTTCTTTATCTCACCCACAAAATACAGACAGTTACACCACTTATAATAATAATAAACCTTGCATTTGATATGGTGCCTTATTACTTCTTCCACACATCTCAAAGAGCTTCACAGTATATACTGTAAGGTGAATTTACTGTATGTTTTCACATTATATCCTCTGAAGGTGCTATGTCAAATGCTAGGATAATTATTATTATCATGATTATTATTATTATTGTCCTCTTTAGTCTCTACCATTTCACTAGATTCAGTAGGTTAATGCCTGAAACCTGAACCTACTTTTCTCTTTCATGTGATGACAGACCTGTAGTCAATATGTTTCTGCCTAAAGTCGGTTTCCTGGTGTCAAATCCTGCACACCAGGTCAAAAAGCTTCTGAGATGTAAAAATAAAATGTTTTTTGTAATAAGAAAAAAACTCTTGCAATCACACAGAGAGCATTTTATAATGACTATGTTACCCGCCTGATTTACTCCACCAGCCATTCAGTTTATAACTCAATCTTGGAGTCTCACCACCTTGCCCTCACCCTTTCCCCCTTAAAAACTTAACCTTAAAACCAAACTTTTTGATTGTGCTTTGGGTTACCTTCTCCCCCCGATTGGCTCCCTCCCCCCGTCTCTGATCAGCTTAGGGTCCCAGTCTGCTTTGTGAAACACTTTGAGACATCCTCCGAACATAAAAGCCTCTAAATAAAGATAAACTGTTGTGCAAAGGGGGGAAGGTTTCTGAATGAGCTATTTAAATTGGTTCTACATTAGTAAGGAAACCACAAAAAAGTGCGTGCTAACATGAGAGGTCACTGTGTATCAGAGAGGTCCGTAAGTGGAGTCCACTCCATTTAAACTAATATCCTTCTTAATGCTTTAGCTGGTCCTTAGGGATATTGTTTTGATGGGATTCCATTAGGAAACAATTTATGGCTATCTTTTCACTTCCCTTCACATGGAGTGAGGAACAAAGCTCATACGCGAGTAATTGCAGATATTTGTGAAGGCAATAAATCAAAGTCAAGGGGGATATTTTGCACTAATTTGAAGACAGTAAGCGGAACTTCAGTAAAGCCTAATGGATTTAATATCTGTAATGAGGCCAAGGGAATTACACGATCTCTATTGGAAGCTGTTGGAAACAAATTTGTTGAAGAACACATTATTCTAATGGCCTTTGCTATACGTTTTCCGACTATAATCTATGTCTGCTTGATTATCTTTAGGAATTAGAGAATGGGGTCTAAAATGCACTTTGGGCTAACCATTTTCAAACTCAGGTGTACTTAATTGTTGATAATATTAATAGTAATAATCCTTACATTTGATACAGCATCTTTCACATCAGGACACATTTTAAAGCACTTCATAGAATTTATTGTAAAGGGCAGTAACAGTGTATAGTTTGTAGCCAAATATTGTGTAATTAACCATCAATGAAAAGGAACACCAATCATTCTGGGATCGCTTTCAGGAATACACTGGCTGAAGGTGCACTATAACAGTCTAGAAACCAATATACATTTGACACTAAAATATCCTGATACACACTGGAGCTTCCCTTTCCCTAAACCTATTATACCTTCCATATACCATGTTATAACTATCTACTGAATCAAATTGGCCAATGCATGTATTATAAACCATTTATAAAAAAATGCAAAGAAACTTTCTGAATTCTATGAGGTCAGAATTTCTATCAGTGATATGCACTGGAACTTGGGTTGTTACATAGAATTACATAGAGATAATAGTGAATCAGTGGATGTGGTCTATTTGGACTTCCAGAAGGCATTCGATAAGGTGCCGCATAAAAGGTTAGTCCAAAAGATAAGGACCCATGGAATTGGGGGGAGCATATTAACTTGGATTAGGGAATGGTTAACGGGTAGGAAACAAAGAGTAGGGATAAACGGGTCCTTTTCAGATTGGCGGGATGTGACTAGTGGAGTGCCACAAGGATCAGTCCTTGGGCCTCAGCTATTTACCATCTACATCAACGATCTAGATGAGGACATCGAAGTTAATATATCTAAATTCGTGGATGACACAAAACTAGGAGGAAGTGTCAACACAGAGGATGGCATTAAAAAATGCAGCGAAACATAGATAGGTTAGGTGATTGGGCAGGTAGGTGGCAGATGAAGTATAATGTAGGGAAGTGCAAAGTCATCCACCTAGGTAGCAAAAACAGTACAGCGGGTTATTTTTTAGAAGGGGAGAGATTGGAATGTGTTAGTGTCCAGAGGGACTTGGGTGCCTTGTACACCAATCACAGAAAGTTAGTCTGCAGGCGCAGCAGCAATTAGGAAGGCGAACGGTATGTTAGCATTCATTATGAAAGGATTAGAGTATAAGAGTAGGGAAGTCTTGCTGCAACTGTATAGGGCCCTGGTGAGACCACACCTGGAATACTGTGTGCAGTTTTGGTCTCCTTATTTAAGGAAGGATGTACTTGCCTTGGAGGGGATGCAGCGTAGATTTACTAGGTTAGTACCAGGGATGAAGGGGATGAGTTAGGAGTATAGGTTGACCAATTTGGGCCTATATTCTCTTATAGAAGAATTAGAGGGGATCTTATAGAAACCTACAAGATCATCAAAGGGCATGATAGAGTAGATAGTGGGAGATTGTTTCCCCTGGTTGGAGAAACTAAAACCAGGGGTCACAACCTTAAAATCAGAGACCAGCCCTTTTGCACTGAGTTGAGGAAGAACTTCTTCACTCAAAGGGTGGGGAATGTATGGAACTCACTACCCCAAAGGGCTGTTGATGCTCAGTCCTTGAACATATTCAAGACTGAGATAGATAAGATTTCTTATTGCAAAAGGGATTAAGGGATATGGGGACAAGGCAGGGTTAGGTTATCAGCTGGAGTTAGATTAGAAGATCAGCCATGATTGAATGGCGGGGCAGGCTCGAAGGGCCGAATGGCCTACTCCTGCTCCTACATGTTATGTTATAGAATCTATAGCATCGTAACAGGCCATTTGGCCCAACTATTCTGTGCCGCTGTTTATATGCCACATTAGCTCCAACATCCTAATCCTCTCTCC